TCTTAAAATACACGTCTACAAACTGCAGATTTAATACATTTTCAATTTCAACTCTACTGTACAGTATATTAAATACTTTACAAGTCACTTTCGTATTTTTCTATGCAAGCAAAAGGAAGATTGCTGAACTTGTATATAGAAATTATGCCAATAAATTGCGATTAAATCATGATTATGGTTATTTATAATACTATATATAATTAGTTGCTTAAATAATATACGTCTTCAAACATTAATTTTACTGTAAGATTCTATTAAAACGGTACAATTCAAATTCTAAAAGTCACTTTCGCTCACTTTCGCTCACTTTCGTCAAAAATCTCACTTTCGTATTTTAGGCAAACCCCTTTAAACATACATGAATGTTGTTAGCTGATTTATCTTAAACTTAATTATCTCGTTCACACCACATAGTAACTTGTGCGCACGACTTTTTTTTTTTAAATAAATGAATAAGTTTATTATTAATTGTAATAAATTAGAGAGAGAAATATTTTATTGAAGTATTTAGATGTTTGGTAATTGGATAAGTTTATTGATATAAATTAGAGAAAAAAATATCTTATTGAAGTATTTAGATGTTTGGTAATTGGATAAGTTTATACATGGGTAGTTTTAAGATCAATTAATCAATTAGAAAAAAATATTTTCAACATATAAGTATATTATTCTGATTTTTTTATTAGATCTTATGTATGCTTTTAATGTGTTAGTCATTTAAAAATAAATTAATAAATAATTTACTTGATCAGGATAATAATAAGGGGACGGTATACTTTGCAGACGACTTTGCAGACAAGTTAAACATAGAGGGATTTTGCAGACAAGTTAAATAAAGAAGGAATTTTTAGATTTTTGCAGACAACTATAGATTATATAGGGGGTCGTTTAATCCCTTGTCAAAAGGTGTGAATGGCAATTATATTGAATTTAATACCATACCTAGAAAGATCTATAATTATTTTGCCCAAACTTGAAAAAATAGTTTTAATGAATGATTTTTTTTAAGAATAATTTTATGCTTTTATAAAAAAAAATATAAGAATATAATTTAAAAAAAAAGCACTAAGTAATTGCATGAGACAGAAATAATTAATTATTTATAACAAACAAAAACAATATTAAATAACTTTTTTAAGTATAATACATAAAGTATAGACAGAATAGAGTTTTTTTGAAAAAAATTTTGCACGACAAGTTAAACTAAGAAGGATTTTGCAAACAAGTTAAAATAAGAAGGATTTTGCAGACAAGTTTGATATAAGAACAGAAATATAAAATGAAAAGGGGAATGTTAGAAAAATCAGTTTTTCGCAGCCAGAAAATAATGTTGAATTTGCAGACAAGTTAAAATAAGAAGGGACTTTGCAGACAAGTTAGATAAATAGAACAGAATATAAAAATAAAGGGAATTATTTGAAAAATCAGTATTTCGCAGACAGAAATAATGTTGAATTTTTGCAGACAAGTTAAAATAAGAAGGATTATCAGAAAGTTAGATTATTCTAAGAAAAAATAAACATGACAGGGGAATATTAGGAAAAATCTGTTATTTTCAAGACAGAAATTAAATGTTGAATGTTGCAGACAGTTTAGAAATAAGAAGGAATTTGCAGACAATTTAGATATAAAACAGAATTTTAAATGGATGGGGGAATATTAGAAAAACAGTATTTGCAGACAGAAATAAGTTGAATGTTTGCCAGACAAGTTAAATAAGAAGGATTTGCAGAAAAGTTTAGATTAAGAACAAAATAATAAAATGATGGGGGAATATTAGAAAAATCTGTATTTCCGCAACAGAATTAATGTTGAAATTTTGCAGACAAGTTAAAATAAGAAAGGAATTTGCAGACAATTTAGATATAAAACAGAATATAAAATGATAGGGAATGTTAGAAAAATCTGTATTTTGCAGACAGAATTAATGTTGAATTTATTATATTTCAGTAATTCATTTTCTTTACTTTAAATTAATTGTTGTTCTGTATATCTACTATTAATATTCTTTATCCATTTATAGCCTTTTCAGTTCTTTGTAGACCTTTTGTCCTGTGTATTGTTAATGACATTCAATGATTAAAAGGTGTGAAACCAAATTAGTAATAAATGATCTGTACCAGTGTTTATTGTTATTTTCAAAAATGTCAATACATTGTATATTCAATTTGTTTTATCTATGTGAATTTTGGTTAAAAAAACTTGAATGTCAATGATATTTGAAGTAATATTACCCAGTATTATTCATTAATTACTTATGTATGTTCTTATACATCTCAGACTATATTTAGATTTTTTTTATGTTTTTAATAATTATGTGAAAAACTATTGCTAATAAATAAAGTTAAGATTGAAAAAAAAAGCTTTGAAAAAATTAAAGTAAGAAAATAATTTTATTGATTAATATAAATTCAACATTTTTTTTCTGTCTGCAAAATACAGATTTTTCTAATATTCCCCCATCATTTTATATTCTGTTTCTATATCTAACTTGTGTGCAAAAATCCTTTCTTATTTTAACTTGTCTTGCAAAATTTCAACCTTAATTCTGTCTGCAAAATACAGATTTTACTGCTTATAATCCACTATCATTTCATATTTTTGTTCTATATCTAACTTGTCTTGCAAAATCCTTCTTATTATTTAACTTGTCTGCAAAATTCAACCTTAATTGTGTCTGCAAAATACAGATTTTTCCAATAGTTCACCTCAAATTTCATATTGTTTCTATATCTAACTTGTCTGCAAAATCCTTCTTATTTTAACTTGTCTGCAAAATTCAACCTTAATTCTGTCTGCAAAATTACAGATTTTACCTTATAAATCCACTATCATTTTATATTTTGTTCTATATCTAACTTGTCTGCAAAATTCAACATTAATTGTGTCTGCAAAATACAGATTTTACCTTATAATCCCTATCATTCATATTTTGTTCTATAATCTAACTTGTCTGCAAAATCCTTCTTATTTTAACTTGTCCTGCAAAATTTCAACCTTAATTCTGTCTGCAAAATACAGATTTTACCTTATAATCCACTATCATTTTATATTTTTGTTCTATATCTAACTTGTCTGCAAAATTCAACATTAATTGTGTCTGCAAAATACAGATTTTTCCAATAGTCACCTCAAATTTCATATTTTGTTCTTTATTTACGAACTTGTCTGCAAAATCCTTCTTATTTTAAACTTGTCTGCAAAATTCAACCTTAATTCTGTCTGCAAAAATACAGATTTACCTATAATCCCCTATCAATTTTATATATTTTGTTCTATATCTAACTTGTCTGCAAAATCCTTCTCATTTTAACTTTGTCTGCAAAATTCAACCTTAATTCTGTCTGCAAAATACAGATTTTACCTTATAATCCCCTATCATTTTAATATTTTGTTCTATATCTAACGTTGTCCTGCAAAAGTTCAACATTAATCGTGTCTGCAAAATACAGATTTTTCCAATAGTCACCCTCAAATTTCATATTTTGTTCTATATCTAACTTGTCTGCAAAATCCTTCTTATTTTAACTTGTCTGCAAAATTCAACCTTAATTCTGTCTGCAAAATACAGATTTTACCTTATAATCCCCTATCATTTTATATTTTGTTCTATATCTAACTTGTCTGCAAAAATCCTTCTCATTTTTAACTTGTCTGCAAAATTCAACCTTAATTCTGTCTGCAAAATACAGATTTTACCTTATAATCCCCCTATCATTTTATATTTTGTTCTATATCTAACTTGTCTGCAAAGTTCAACATTTATCGTGTCTGCAAAAATACAGATTTTTCCAAATAGTCACCTCAAAATTTTCATATTTGTGTTCTATATCTAACTTGTCTGCAAAATCCTTCTTATTTTAACTTGTCTGCAAAATTCAAAACCTTAATTCTGTCTGCAAAAATACAGATTTTTACCTTATAATCCCCTCCCCCTATCATTTCATATTTTGTTCTATATCTAACTTGTTCTGCAAAATCCTTCTTATTTTAACTTGTCTGCAAAATTCAACCTTAATTCTGTCTGCAAAATACAGATTTTACCTTATAATCCACTATCATTTTATATTTTGTTCTATATCTAACTTGTCTGCAAAATTCAACATTAATTGTGTCTGCAAAATACAGATTTTACCGCCTTATAATCCCCTATCATTTCATATTTTGTTCTATATCTAACTTGTCTGCAAAATCCTTCTTATTTTAACTTGTCTGCAAAAATCAACCTTAATTCTGTCTGCAAAATACAGATTTTACCTTATAATCCCCTATCATTTTTTATTTTGTTCTATATCTAACTTGTCTGCAAAAATTCAACCATTAATTGTGTCTGCAAAATACAGATTTTTCCAATAGTCACCTCAAATTTCATATTTTGTTCTATATCTAACTTGTCTGCAAAATCCTTCTTATTTTAAACTTGTCTGCAAATTCAACATTAATTCTGTCTGCAAAATACAGATTTTTCCAATAGTCACCTCAAAATTATATTGTTTGTTTGTTATAAGCATTATATACTGTCTCATGCAATTATTATGTTTTTTATTTATATTCTTATTTTTTTTATGAAAGCATAAATTAAAAAAACAACATCAAATTAAAACTATATTTTCTTTAATTATATAAAGTTTTGCAAATTAATTATACTTTCTAAATGGCATTACTTCAATGTAATTGCCCATTCACACCTTTTGACCAGTTGACAAGGGATTAAACATTCCCTATATAATCTATATTGTCTGCAAAGTCTAAAATCCTTCTTTATTTAACTTGTCTGCAAAATCCCTCTATGTTTAACTTGTCTGCAAAGTCGTCTGCAAAGTATACCATCCCAATAATAAGATATTAATTATTGTGTTTTTCCCCCATGATTCTATTCCATTTTTTTAAAATCGAGATTCTATTGACTCATTTGAAATACGAACTATGTAAACAATAACATTATTAAATTCCCGCTGTAACAATTCATCCTGTTCCAAATTCACGTCAGCTTGCTTTTCATTTTATTTAGCGGTGTTCACCTTTTTACATGTCCGCCAGGACGGGAAGCGTGGAATAAAGCATTTCCAAAATGTCAGCAGGATTCGGGTAATTCCTATTTCGATTTGTTTTTTTTATGAAATTTATTAGTTTTGAATAAAAATGACTTGTGTCATTTGTATACAGATCTTAAAAGAAGACTCAGATAAATCTAAATTCAATTGGTTGCTCTTTTCCTTTATTTACTGAAAACGAGTCCAAAATGTGTCTTTCTTGACGATTCGCCCCTGTCACGATTCAACCCATAATATTAAAAAAATATACTGAACAAGTTTAAGATCAAAAACTTTGAAAACTGTTATACGATGAAGATTTTTAACATATTTTATGTATTTTGTTGTTTAAAATTAAAACATTCGAAGAAAATTTTTAATTATTTACATCTTTATTCTATATTTTCCCAAAGACCCCTGGCCCTGGTCGGTCGAAAGTGGTTTGGCTGATCATATATAATAAAACAGGTAGTGGTTTCGGCGAACTTAATTTATATTGTGCGAACAATATCTATTTTTTAATGGGCAAGCCAATTATCGCAGGCTTAATATGTGGTTTATCACACGTATTCATGCAATTAAAGACAAGATATTGAAAATTTAAACCTACTGTTTTATTTATTCTTTTCTTTAGTATAATATTTAGTAATGTTTACATAAAGAATAACAGAATACAAAAGATCTCAGTGAACAAACAACATCATAGAAATATATATATGTATAAAAGTACAACCTGAAAAAAACTAATAATGAGTCAAAATTTACACAAATTACATTTCACACATGTAAGTTAAGCCTGTAAAATAAATATGAAGACATTATTTTTATTATATATGTCAAACTATATACACAGATAGTAAAAGCTGAAAAAAGAAGAAACAATGTGCAGTGTGGCGGCTGTAAAATGTCTCCCCGTACATTTAATCAATGATGTTATATTTTCGAAACTTGAAGATCGTTCAGCACCACATTATTCAATTTATTGTTGGGGACCATACGCAGCTTTTCATGAAATGATACAGGGCTGCCGATAACATGCGTATTTGCGTTATTACCCAATTAAAATGTCTAAAAACCCAATAGAAATAATAACTAAGGGTAAGAAAAAGTAACTGAATTCTTATTTATGCAAACTACATTTGAACTGGTGCGTAAGGACGTAAATTATTACATAACGCGTACATCAGGCAGATCATTCTGTTTCAGACTGTTTTAACCTTTAAATTATATCAGGCAGCTTGGAAATCTCCTAGGCCAATAAACCATAAAGCAAAGTAGTAAGTAGCTTTTTTTATAACCATACAAAACCTACAACAGTCTACAATGAAGGTCAGAAATTTTGGGTAAAATACATGAACTCGTGCCAGTGTTTTTTTTCTTTATATAACTACTACCCTAAAACGGTACCATTCCCAATAGAAAATAGACATTAAAATTCCCAATTTCCAATGTAAAATTCCCAAAATGGCTGTTCAAAATGCCCACAAGGCCAAGTGATTTTTCTAAAATCATTTAAATCCAACATATTCATATAAATCACCACTCAATAGTTCTATCTGGACAGTAGAAGCTGTTAGCTATCTTTATTCATGATGCCTAATCTCATTTGTAGCTGAAAAAATGCATTAAAAAAATTCCCAATTTTAGTCAAAATAACGCATTTTTTCCCAATCAGTCTAGTACCGGCACCATTCCCAAAATAGAGAAAATAAACGCTGCATGCTTTATAACCCAAATTTGTTAGAGGGGGTAGGGTAAAAAATACAGAAATAACTCAAAGAAAATAGAAAAAACCCAATAGATCACAAAACAAGGGGTAATTACCCAATATACAAAAAATGTTATCCGTAGCCCTGATGATACTACTGTCACATGATAACCGCTGTATGAACACATCTGCGGATGTTTCTAAATTCAAAATTTCACCATTTTTGTGTTTAGATGTTGAATTCTGCTTAAGCCGGTGCTAACTTGCACTTTCCAGTACCTTCCATGAACAGGCTCAATCAAACCGAGTCTGCAACATTTTGCAATTTTGCCGTGTTGGACTTTCTTTAGGGATTCTGTTTTTCTATATTTAATCGGAATACAATCGATATATATACACAGAAAAAATAAAACCTGTAAGAGAAAGAATTAACAATGTATTTTATAATTTAAATATTTACAAAAAAAAACAACATAAAAAAATCCACGTACTTAATAAACTATTATAAACAACACATATTACAATTACTTTATTCTTCTCTATATAAACAATTGACACATGTATGCATTTTATTAAAGAGGATACATCATGATTTATATGTAATAAACAACAACAATCTGTTTTTATCCTTTATTCATCACTCTATAGATATAAAACTTTGATTTAAAAGTTTCTATTATGATAGCAAAAGCAAAAATATTGATGATAAAATACTTTATATATATGAACCATGTCTACATTGCCTTTAATTACTATATAACATAAGGTCGACGAAACCACTTTCGCACCTCTTCATAAGTTAAGTTCGCCGAACCCGTAGTTTGACGAAACCACCATAATTCACCCGGGTCTAAACTGGCATCATATCAGTTGGTGTACGTTCTTGGGGGGATGTGGGGGACTAAAAAAAAAGAGCAAAATTTCAATTTCCTACTAGTTCTGGCTTCCAGAACTTTATAAGCCGCTTTTTAACACATTGTTTTTTAAAAAATCTAATATTGATTGTAGTTATATACTAGCTTTAAGAGCTTTGAATCAAGTTAAATTTTAATGTCCTCATAAATATCAAAAGTAGAGTACTTAATGAATGAAAAAATCCCTTATTTCAACTGGATAACACTAATTATTAATAAACAACATGTAAAAAAAATATTTATGATAATTGCTACCATAAAAGAATTAAAAGTCTGTGAAATAGCACATTTTTCAAATTAATATTTCAAAGTGCATACTTTTCAGCTACAAATAAGATTAGTCATCATGAATAAAGGCAGCTAACAGCTTCCACTGTCCAGGTAGAACTATTGAGTGGTGATTTATATGAGACTTTGACAGTAGTATTTAAGATATGCCTGTCTCTTTCACCTTAAATGCATTTAACATTAATCTTGCATTCTTGATGAATGACAGGTATCTGCATTTTGTCTTAAAGAGCTGAAAAATAGAAAACTAGAAAAATAGGATTTAGTAAAGATGTATTTGTTGATATGTATAATATATTGAAGTATTTTCTTTCTTATTTCCAATTTTTAAGAAAAAAAATAGACCCATGTTAAATGTGAAATTTTTACAACCATTGCATTTCCAATGTTTAAACTTCAATAAACATTTATTACTTTTCCATTAGCAGAAGAATGAAAAATTATGACACATAAGATAAAGTTTGTATATTTTCATCATATTGTCACCAAATTCTGTATTATATTGGACGACTAGTGAGAGACACATGAGTAAATGATAACAAATCTGAATCGATGCCTTTCATTCACTAACCATTAAGTGATTGACAATCAATAATATCATATGAAATTGCTTGACTTAGAACTTCCATTGTGAAGATAGAAATTAGAAGAAAGTTTTGTGGTAGAACTGTTTACAGACAATACATTACACAAACTTCGAAAATTGTTTTTACATGTATATCTGAATAAATCTGACAAATCCTTTGAGTTGAGATGGAGTTTATCTGTAACCCAGATAAAATCTTAAAGTCCAGGAACCATCAAACATCTACACTACCTTTACAATGACTTTAATACAGAAATAACTTTACAAAACTTTCTGAGTAAAGACCGTTCATGTAGTACTTATTGTTTAGAGGGCTTCTATTAAACGTATGTAAACTATGATGCTTGGGTAAAATATGGCCTGCAGGTCATGCTTTTTGGAACTTCTTATCTATTTGTCTTTTCTATATACTGATATGATTTTCAACACAGATCAATTTGCGAGATACTTTTTTCCCAGTCACTTTGATGTTTGTGGTTGTTCTAAAATAAATTAAAACAGGTAGATATTTTTTAAATGGTATTGAATGCATGTTTAACAATACATTTTTAGCTCACCTGTCACAAAGTGACAGGGTGAGCTTTTGTGATCGCTTTTTGTCCGGCGTCCGTCGTCCGTCCGTCATCCGTCCGTCCGTAAACTTTTACTTTAAATGACATCTCCTCATAAACCACTAAGCCAATTTCATCCAAACTTCACAGGAATGTTCCTTTGGTGGTCACCTTTAAAAATTGTTCAAAGAATTTAATTCCATGCAGAACTCTGGTTGCCATGGCAACGGAAAGAAAAAACTTTAAATATCTTCTTTTAAAAAACCATAAGAGCTAGAGCTTAGATATTTGGCATGAAACATCTTCTAGTGAGTGTCTACCAAGTTTGTTCAAATAAAAGCCCTGGGGTCAAAATTGGCCCCGCCCCAGGGGGTCATTGATTTTCCCTATATGCATATAGTAAAAACTTTAAAAATCTTCTTTTAAAGAACCCAAAGAGCTAGAGCTAAGATATTTAGCATGAAACATCTTCTAATGAGTGTCTACCAAGTTTGTTCAAATAAAAGCCCCGGGGTCAAAATTGGCCCGCCCCAGGGGGTCATTGATTTTCCTTATATGCATATAGTACAAACTTAAAAAATCTTCTTTTAAAGAACTCAAAGAGCTAGAGCTAAGATATTTAGCATGAAACATGTTCTAATGGGTGTCTACCAAGTATGTTCAAATAAAAGCCCTGGGGTCAAAATTGGCCCCGCCCCGGGGGTCATTGATTTTCCTTATATGTGTATAGCAAAAACTTAAAAATCTTCTTTGAAAAAACCCAAATAGCTAGAGTTTAGATATTAAGCATGAAACATCTTCTAGTAAGTGTCTACAAAGTTTGTTCAAATAAAAGCCCTTGGGTAAAAACTGGCTCCGCCCCAGGGGTGTCATTTATTAACTATATGTGTATAGTAAAAACTTAAAAAATCTTCTTTTAAAGAACCCAAAGAGCTAGAGCTAAGATATTTAGCATGAAACATCTTCTAATGAGTGTCTACCAAGTTTGTTCAAATAAAAGCCCCGGGGTCAAAATTGGCCCGCCCCAGGGGGTCATTGATTTTCCTTATATGCATATAGTACAAACTTAAAAAATCTTCTTTTAAAGAACTCAAAGAGCTAGAGCTAAGATATTTAGCAGGAAACATGTTCTAATGGGTGTCTACCAAGTATGTTCAAATAAAAGCCATGGGGTCAAAATTGGCCCCACCCTGGGGTCATTGATTTTCTTTATATGTGTATAGCAAAAACTTAAAAATCTTCTTTGAAAAAACCCAAATAGCTAGAGTTTAGATATTTAGCATGAAACATCTTCTAGTAAGTGTCTACAAAGTTTGATTAAATAAAAGCCCTTGGGTCAAAACTGGCCCCGCCCCAGGGGTGTCATTTATTAACTATATATGTATAGTTAAAACTTAAAAAATCTTCTTTTAAAGATCCCAATGAGCTAGAGCTTAAATGTTTAGCATGAAACATCTTCTTATGGGTGTCTACCAAGTTTGTTCAAATTAAAGCCCTTGGGTTAAAATGGGCCCTGCAGGGGGCTATGTACAGGTGAGCGACTTCAGGGCCATCATGGCCCTCTTGTTATATTTGAACTTGAATAATTCAAATTCAAGTTATTTAGAACTTGTCAGAAGATGAATCAATTTTTTATGGTAATTATTTTATAGTTTGATTTTGTTCCTTTCAGATTTAATTTTGCAAAGCCAGCTGATGGGACAGCTAACACCACTGGTGAGTTTCATTAAACACATTTTAATGATTAAGTATTATCACAACCCTGTGACATTAAACAGTATCCTGCTGTATTTTGATATGGACTTGTCCAGCTTCCATTTCATGTACTGTCTATTAACAGATTTGGGGATATAGATATGAAAATTCACAGATGGTCAGCTAGTAGTCTGATCACATTTCACCAATCTCTCGTATTTGTTAAATTTCAATATTAAAGACTTATTTTAACAATATCTAAGTAACATAAACTGTGCATGTCTAATAAATGTATGTTTTATGTTTTAGGAGATGTAAATCCTGCAACATTTTCAATTTTGCTGTGTGGGCTTTCTTTAGGGATTCTGCTTTTCTCTATTTCATATCGCAAAAGTGAATCTTTGAAAAAGTGTTAAGTATAAGAGCATGTATGCTCTAAAACAAATATGAGTATTGGGAATACTATTTAAGTTAATGTTTCAACATGGTCAATAATGTTAGCTTTGGGACCTTGGTAGCCGAGAGTTCAAGGTCATTGACATTGTTTGAGATCTTCCTCTATCACAATATGACCTGACCTTGAGGTTATAATTTTTTTTTCTGAGTTCTGTCTCATATCTCAGGATTTTCATTGGTCAGTGTACATTCTGCAGAAGTTTCTGACCAATCAAATACCTGAGATCTGAGTTTAAGCTTAGAGAATTTCTTTATAACCTTTGACCCAGTACTTAATATCCAGTAAAAAAACAAAAACAAAAAACTCCAGCTATCATGACCCTATTGTTATTGTTTAAGTCATATAGAGAGTAACAGTCAGTCATTATACAGAATAAAATAGAGTCATAATATATATGTTAATTATTTTTTATATTATTTAGCTTCTGGAGGTTTTGCTTTTGCCTCAAGTACTCCGGCCAGTACATCTGGTGGATTGAATTTTGGACAACCAGCAACAAAAACAAGTGCAAGTGGTTTAACACTTGGTACACCTGCAGTTTCTCAAAGTAAGTATACAGTAACTTTATTCTTTAATAGATTTTACAAGCTAAAATTTCTAAATTTTAAAGAGAATAGATAAAAGAGTATGAAAACTCTCAATGTTATAATAGCAATCCTAAAGGTAAAGCTTCTTTTACACTCTGCTAATTCAATGCTAGAATTTTATGTGTTAGTGTCATACATGTAGGAGGGATACTTAGGTGACTCTTTAAAAGTTAAAAAAATGGTTCCAGTTTGATGCATAAGTAGGTCACAAGAGCAAAGAGTAGATTCTGCAAAAACTGCCTTCCTGACAAGGAGCAAAGGTCAAATGTCCAAATTTTGCTTGTTCTTGCTATTATTGGCTATAACTTTGTTATTTTTGAATGGATTTTTTTTAAGTTTGAAAAAAGTAATATTCAAGGATAGCCCTTTAAATTAACCAGACAGATCTTGACTTTGAATGTCAAAGTATTAAAATATTAATTTTTTGGGCTGTAATTGGCTGTAACTTTGCAATAATTGAATGGATTGACTTCATATTATAACTGAACATTTTTAAGGAAAAGACCTTCATGTATATCAAACTCAAATTGAGCTTTTAAGACCTTGACCTTGAAGGTTCAATTATTGAATTTCACTGATTTATATATACATGTTTATATATCTTTTCTTCTGTAATACATATGTGTGTAATACAGAAGAAAAAATTTACATATTTTTTTTTCTTCTATGATACATCTGCGAATATATATATATTCTTTTGTGCCCCCACTATAGGGGGGGCATTTAGATTTACCCTTGTCCGTCCATCCGTCCGTCTGTCTGTTCCCTTTTTGTGTTGCACGCAGCTCAAAAAGTAATTGACCTAGAGTCATGAAACCTTACAGGAATATTGATCAGCATGTGTAGTTGTGCACCTGAGTATTTTTGTGTGGATATATTTAGTATTTTTAGAGTTATTGCCCTTGAATTATTAAAATTTTCCAATTTTCAACTTGTATCGCAGGTAACTAAAAAAGTATTTGACCTAGAGTCTTGAAACCTTACAAGAATGTTGCTCAGCATGTGTAGTTGTGCACCTGGGTATTTTTGTGTGGATATTATTTGTATTTTTAGAGTTATTGCCCTTGACTTAGTAAAAATTTACAATTTTCAACTTGTGTCACAAGTAACTCAAAAAATATTTGACCTAGAGTCATGAAACTTTACAGGAATGTTGCTCAGCATGTGTAGTTGTGCACCTGGGTATTTTGGTGTGGATATTTTTAGTACTTTTAGAGTTATTGCCCTTGACTTAGTAAAAATTTACAATATTTAACTTGTGTTGCACATAACTCAAAAAGTTTATGACCTGTAGGCCTGAAAGTTTACAAGAATGTTGGTCAGCATGTGTACTTATGCACCTTGGGGTTTTCTTGTGGATTTTTCAGTATTTGTAGTATTTGCCCTTTACTTAATAAAAGATTTTTAGTTTTCAACTTGGGCACATGTAGCCAAAAAAATTATTTGACCTACAGACATAAGATTGACAAATCAGTGGAGTGTGGGGGCACCCTTGTCCTATGGCTATGGACACATTTCTAGTTTTTCTTCTGAATTTTGATAATATTTTCTATCTATTGTCATTTATTAATGGAAAAAGAATTTATACTTTGACAAATTTAGTGTGACAAGACAGACCTGTTAAAGTTATAAAAAGGAAACAAATGACATTAAGATTTGTTCAAACATTTCTTTGTTTGCTTTTAGAAAAAGTAAAAAGTCGAGCATTGCCCCAGCCCAGCGGTTGCTCACGTTCTGAGCATTATCATTGTATGTAAAATTTACTTTAGGTGCATTTGGAACACAAGCTACTACGAATACTGGTTTAAATGTTACCCAGCCAACATCAACAGGTACAGGATTAACTCTTGGAGGTTTATCTTCAACCACATCAGCAACTCCTAGCTTGTTTGGTGCCGCTTCAACTGCCCCAACAGCTGCTTTTGGTTTCTCAAAGCCACTTACAGGTATACATTTACATTTTAACTTTACAGTCCATTCAAAATTTAACGGATTTTAATATCAAAATTAAGCTGGTTACTATATAGTTAGACTATGTCATGTGGATGTCAAGGCTGGTCTGACTATGTACTGGTGACAAAGTCATTTTTGGTTGAAGTGAGAGGTAAACAGTCTTATCCATATTTAATCAAAAGGTTGAAAATATTAATTGCTCTTAATATATGTTCAGCTGTGCAAGATAGAAAGTCAACAATGATCATAATTATGAAGTTATTGGTGGCTAAAGTTTTAACTATTGTCAGCATATAAATGAGATGGAATCAGGCCTCGACATTAGCGGTGGTCCGTTGGTCCGAGACCACCTGATTTTGGCAAGGACCACCTAATTTTAAAATGCACTGGTCCGTCGGACCACTTGAATTTTCTGGTTTGTGCAAGGATCATTTGGGAGAATGGCGATTTGGTCAAAAACATGTTATATATATTTTGTTTAAAACCATTTGTCCTATGAACATGTATATGTTTCATTAATAGATTAATCAGATAAGTTAAAGAATGTCTTAAATCATCAATAACTTTCATATTAAGTCGCTAAAATTTTGTCTATGCAAGTTAAAAGAGTTAAGAATTTGTGATATTAAGCTAGGTACAAATTGTATTCAAATGATGCTTGTAATGATGCATCGTCGGATTACCACGCTGGAACCTTTAACATTTATGTTATGCTACATGTTAATCACACGTGGGTATCCGACGATGGTAATTATGATATTGTATGGGATACCGTATGAACTTTCAATTTCATATACATGAATAATGGCAGCAAACTAAAGGAACTTGAGAAATACATCAAGTTATTTGCTAGTTATCTTTATTTTAACTTTTTAACGCTAAGAGATCCATTTCTTCCAGAGTTAAAATTACTTTTTTTTAAATTTTTGATAAAAGGTTAAAAATACTCAATGTAAAAAATAAATATCAACCAACAAGCAACGGGGCGGTAAAAATTCTGTATTCATAATAAATCTGTGAGAAAAATAAGCTAAACTATAGTTATATATAAAGTTGTTTTTATTTTTTATCCTTTAGATATTTCCTTGTTTAAGATAATTTATTAGTTTTATTAAATTGTTAATCTATAAAAGATACATGTAATTATCATGATTATAAGACGTACCACGTATCAGCAATGTATATTTGAATAACAGTAAGAAAAAAACCCAGACACAAATGGTTTCACTATTCCCTAACTTGAGTTGAGACAGAAATCACTTCAATATATAAGTTAACACAAATAAGAGCCCTGTTGTGTATTTTTGAATAAGCTATAAAAAAACAACAAATAACTTCACGACAGAATACCTACTAACTTGCTCTCAGATAAAAGTATATATCTAAAATGTCTGTTTTCTTTAAAGCTTAATAATACATCTTTGTCATCAATTTTAAGCATACTTTTTTCTAAACTTACAGTAAACTGATCTAATAATAATAATTGACCACTTGACTTCTGGAAGGACCACCTTAATTTCAAATCTAGTGGTCCGGCTTACCACCTGATAAAAAAGTTAGTGTCGAGGCCTGGGAATAATTGTGCCATATGGTATTATGATTTACAAATGCTTATTTGATTGAAGGTAATCCTAAAGCTTAGTACATGTACAAATTGGGGAAAAATATCATACAAAGCTTATGAACAAAGGGTGAATTAACAAGACCAGATAGTTGAGTTTCAGTTATGATCATATTTAAAGCAGTGTTACATGATGTATGTAAAATTGTTTTACAGTGGGGAGCCAGGCAACAACTACAGCAAGTACTGGTTTGGGTCTCGGCCTGAAATTAGGAACAACAACAACACAAAGTAGTGGTCTTGGAGGATTTGGGCTAACCACCACTAAATCTACTACATTAGGGAGTGGAAGTATATTTGGTCAGAATGTTGCCAAGACAACCTCATCAGGCCTGGGTGGTATTGGACCAACAACAACAACTGCTACATCTACAAGTAACTCTAGCAAACCAGGGTAAGTATGTTTTATTTTGTATATAGAAAAAAAATGTGTGAGTAGGAGATGTTTGTTAATGATAATCATATTAAGACTTTTTAAAGTTGTTGTTTTTTATCACATGCAAGATACATATGCTGAAATGAAAAGATTGAGGAATATAAGTTTTAATCCTTAAAGGCACATTATGACTTAGAAATGAATAAATATTGAATTTACTTCTTTAGAAAGGTCAAACATGAGTTTTATAACATTTAAATAATGGTTTTAGAGTATGTTAAATGCTTGTTACCTGGAGAAAATAGCAGTTTATGTAAAATAAAGTAGCAAAATGTGATGAAAGAAGTACAACCAACTAAATCACTATAAATGTACTAATTGCCAAAAAGCAACAGAAGAAGAAGACAGTTCAGGTAACTTGTTGGAAATTATTAAAATAATACCAAAATAATTTGAGAAATAAAATTGAAAGCATTTCTAGGGCATAATAGGTCTTTTAGAATTGTAAAGTAAGGTTAACATTTGGTTTGACAATGTTTAATTTACTTCTAGACCTTAATAGCTATATTCACATTGTCCATGTACAACAACAAACAGTATATTTTGTTAATTCCAGACATGTATGTGATTAGAAAATTTTTATGTTGCTAAAAGAGCAGTAGGGAAAAGGATATATTTTAAACACAAGATAACCCCTGTACAAACTTTATGTACAAACTTCTCTATTATTTATTGTTGATTATTTGTGTTGATTATCTAGTGTTTACATGAAATGAAGTTATACATGAGTAGTTTATCCCACCACCCAATTGTATATAAATTTTGTATTTGCTAGTTGCCAGATAGATATTTCATGCATGTTTTTGTTTGGTATATAATTTCAGGGAAAATAAAGTAGTAAAGGAGATGGCTGTAGAAAACAGTATTTTACTGGATGTTGAAGAATTGAGGTATTCTTCTTTCTATATCTAACCCCTTAAACCTTTACCACCAACATTAAAATATAAAGTTGTTTTAGCAACTATTCGATATTATTATATGGTGTGTTTTACAGAAAGTATGGTATATTTTACAGAAAATAGGGTATAATACTAGATTGTACCAAATAATAGTATATAGAGCAGAATTCTGATTGGCTTAACCACTTTCTGTGTGCTTTGGTTTGTCACAGTTTACACAGCATAGAGTATACAATGTGTTCAAGCCAACCAGAATTCAAGAAATGTATTTGCATTATTATAATGTAGAGACTATGTAAGATTTAATGTATATATAATGTATATATAATGTATACTATACAGAAAGTTTGTAAAAGAGGAGAAAAGTGAGATGGAACAGATGAAGAGGATGTCATCAACATCAATGATAAAAGTACAGGAAGACAACGCTGCCCTCAAACAACTTCTCTCTCTTGTCTCCAGCTCGTTACAGAAAAATGCTTGTGCTGTTGATAAACTAAAGAGAGAAATGACACAGGTACTTGAAAACATTGCTCCTTCATTTTATATCTTGTTTTATTACTGATTTCTTTTATATTGCAATATAAAATTTTGCATTGCCAGAACTATAAAAAGGAGATATTCATGATGGATTACAGGTGAACTTGGTATTCAGCATCCCTGCTTATTTTAAACGAAAATACAAAATGCATTCAAATTGTTTTGTTTTCACAACCAGTGAGTGCATGGATTTGTAAGGGGTTGTGTTTTGATAGCTTATGTTTTTGGGTCTTCACTAAACCTGTATCTGTTCTGGTTTACCAGTGAGGTACTTTAACTTTTATTCTTATTTTGCCAGTGGTATGATATACATGTATAGATTTTCATGACCTTTATGCTTAATTTGATTATTGTAAACCAATGAAGGATTCATCATCCTGACCCTCTTGTAGGTCAACTTTATTTACAATGTTGATTGATTATATACAGGAGTTAAAGAATGCAGAGATGGCATTAAGAACTAAAGAGACACCTCCAGGCTTACAGTATGAAAACACAGCACCAACATTGTAAGTTAAGTTTTACCCTCAAAACATACAAATGAGCTTGATTGGATAGATGAGTGTAGTTTTTAGCTCGACTATTCGATAAGAATAAGTAGAGCTATTGCAGTCACCCGAGCGTCGGCGTCGGCGTAACCACTTATGTTAAAGTTTTTGTAATAGTTCAAATATTTTCAAAGTCCATTGACATATGGCTTTGAAACTTTGCACACTTGTTCACCATCATGACCCCAACCTGTAGACAGGAGGAGGTAACTCTATCAAGCATTTTGACAGAATTATGCCCCTTTTTCAACTTAGAATTTACGTTAAAGTTTTTGTAATAGTTCAAATATTTTCAAAGTCCATTGACATATGGCTTTGAAACTTTGCACACTTGTTCACCATCATGACCCCAACCTGTAGACAGGAGGAGGTAACTCTATCAAGTATTTTGACAGAATTATGCCCCTTTTTCAACTTAGAATTTACGTTAAAGTTTTTGTAATAGTTCAAATATTTTCAAAGTCCATTGACATATGGCTTTGAAACTTTGCACACTTGTTCACCATCATGACCCCAACCTGTAGACAGGAGGAGGTAACTCTATCAAGCATTTTGACAGAATTATGCCCCTTTTTCGACTTAGAATTTACGTTAAAGTTTTTGTAATAGTTCAAATATTTTCAAAGTCCATAGACATATGGCTTTGAAACTTTGCACACTTGTTCAACATCATGACCCCAACCTGTAGACAGCAGGAGGTAACTCTATTAAGCATTTTGACAGAATTATGCCCCTTTTTCGACTTAGAATTTACGTTAAAGTTTTTGTAATAGTTCAAATATTTTCAAAGTCCATTGACATATGGCTTTGAAACTTTGCACACTTGTTCACCATCATGACCCCAACCTGTAAACAGGAGTAGGTAACTGTATCAAGCATTTTGATAGAATTATGCCCCTTTTTCGACTTAGAATTTACGTTAAAGTTTTTGTAATAGTTCAAATATTTTCAAAGTCCATTGACATATGGCTTTGAAACTTTGCACACTTGTTCACCATCATGACCCCAACCTGTAAACAGGAGGAGGTAACTGTATCAGGCATTTTTTTTACTATCAAGCACTAAGAATAGTCGAGCATGCTGTCCTACCGACAGCTCTTGTTAGCTAGACTGTTTAAAGAACAGTGAGGCTATCTTATTTACCCAGCTGTCTGTATCGACGTTACACTTTTGTAAAAGTTTAATGTACAATTTACAACATCATATCTCATCAACCACCTAAGATATTTGCTTGTTACTTCACACACTTATTTGAGATCATAGAAGAAGGTCACTATATCTGGCCTATAACTTTGAAAAAATTTTGACAGAATTATTGTTCTATGATTGTGAACTTCTTGGTTAAAGTTTTGCATGCAACATCAGTCTGAAGAACTATTAAACTTAATATACATGTACAGTTAAACTTTGTTCGCTCGAACTCGGACCACTCGAGAAGTTGTGCATATGGCCAGCACGTTTGGCTTCGCTGCACAAAATGGCTGCCAAGGCTATAAAAAGACATATCCTGTCCGGCTTTCCCAGGTCAAACTGCTGGCAGGATTTCGACAGAAGCGAAAGACTTCTGAGTTTTACTGGACAGTAGGTCCTGTAAACTGAAAATTTTTACTGGACCAAACATGATTTTACTGGACCGAAAAAAAATCTGATTGGTATAGCATTTTGAGTCACTTGGTAAGTGTCAGCAGTCAAAAAATTTGTGTACAAAAAGAAAATTATATTATCAACAAAGTGAAGTTATCTTTTTTCACCACAATCAAAATGTAAACATAAATATTGTTATACATGTATTCAATGGATTTTGCTATTTAAACTTAAATTCTATACAGACTATATACTAGCAAAATGAGAGGGTAAATTTCAGCAAAAGTCTGGCATATGTAAACAGAATTATATATAGCGGTAATTTAGTGAAGTTGACAGATTAATTGTTCAATGATTTTGGTACCTTCTGTGGATTAAAGACGTAAATTGTTCCAATTAATACACCAGTTGACACTTTCATCTGTGTAAACAAACTAATAGCGGGTGACCTTTCACATCTGGGCCGCTTATGTAATTTACGCGGCCGCTTATTGACTTTTAATTGTACTAGTTGTCGGATATTATTATCTTACGTAGTTACATAAAAGTTTGCATTATGAGAATGCATAACAGTTGACAAGCATTGCACGAGCTTATATTGTGTAATGACAACATTTTGATATGTTTTGAATTTAGGTAAATGATCGGCCTTTGCAAAATGTTGAATGTAAGGTTTTTATAAAACCTTATTTTTTTACCGGACCGTCGGGCCGTCAATACATATATTTTTATCGGACCCTCTGATTTTTTACCGGTCAGGGCCGACGGTCCGACGGTCTTTCGGAAAGACTGCCATACCTAGTTGTGGGAGACATAAGTTTTTGTAACAAAAACCCCTTTCTAGTTTGATGCTGTAAATGTGCATGTCCATCCAGCTAGCTAAACCAAACGTCAGTGGTTATACTTTTGTGTCTGAAATGACTCATAGAGGGGCACCTGAGGTTTTCCTCCACTAGTAAAGCTAAAAAGTCGCCATATGGTCTATGCTGTGTCGGTGGGATGTAAACCCCAATTAAAAAGAACTGTGCATGTATGTTTTACAGATATTTTCATAGCTTGATAGAAAAGTTTGAGGGTCAGATGTTGACATACAGACAGCAGATAGAGATTCTAGAGAACCATCTGTCCTCCCTCCATCAGCCCAATAGACACACCCCTGAAGGTAAATATCTACTCTAACATTTGATAAGTAAATGTTCCAATTATTTGTGTGACTGTGTAGAACTGTTTACTAATGTGGGAGATGTGCAAGTGACAGAATACCTAAGTAAGTAAAGCTGCAAAATGGTATGTTACGGTATCTGGTCTGAGTCTGTTTAGGCTGCACATTCTCAAATCCTGTGACATTGGGACAATGTTTTATAACATTCTGGAATGTGTTTGCCTGCTTTAAGATGAATTGTTTATGTTAATACTTAAAAATACTATGGTATAATACATGTAACACAGTATTCTGCATATACTGATATACAATATATTTAGTACCATAATTGTAGTTTAACCATCAAATTTGAAGAAAGGAGTGGCAGAAATGTAAGGCAATTTTGATAGAATATACAGAGATTCTTTCTTTATAAAGCATGCAATTAAAATACAAGTGCACTTGTAAGTTTTCCATATATTTTAAGAACAGTTTTGAAGGGCTTTATGACTCTTGCTAGTCTGCTAGTAGATTTGTATATGCTACATTATAGGAAATTTTTCTTACAGAAATGGTTTTATTGTTGAGAAAACTACATGAAGCATTTGTTGCCATGGCAGCACAGTTACAGCAAATTCATGAGGCTGTCAAGGTATTTCTTTATTCCAATATTCAGAAAATTTCACAGTGTCCTTCAGTCTGTGTCTACAATATATTGATATATAGCTAGCCTGTCTGTTGTACTAAATAATGATTGAGTAGAGTTGTACTTTATATCACATTGTATCGGATAATGCACTATTTTACCCGACAGTATGTTGACATTACAAAATCATGATATACATCTAGTATATTATGAAGTCCAATTTTACAAAATTCAGTTTTACAAATTCATTTGCATACCTCGATCGAAGGAACTAAAAATAGATATTTAAAAGAAAATTTTAAAATGTCTTCTCCCAAAGCACAAGATCTCATTTACATCTTATGTTTTATTGGCCGGGTTGCACAGGTGCAAACCTGGGTTAAAGTATGGTGAATGTCGGGCGGTGGGTGATGGGCGGGCGGGGAAAAATATTTTGTAACAGTTTTCACAGCCTCTTGATATTTGGCATACAGCATTGACATGTAGCCCCATCCTGTGGGATTTGATTTCAGGTCTGTCACTCGTGCACTTCCTGTTTACCGACTTAGTTAAATTTTCGTTAAATTTTCGTTAAATTTTCGACATTAATGGTTGGAAATTTTCGTAACAGTTTTCTCAGCAACTACTTATTACAGCCTCTTGATATTTGGCATACAGCATTGACACTTAGCCCCATACTGTTGGATTTGATTTCAGGTCTGTTGCTCATGCACTTCCTGTTTAACGACTTAGTTAAATTTTCAACATTAATGGTCAATGGTTGGAAATTTTCGAAAAAGTTTTCTCAGCCACTACTTATCACAGCCTCTTGATATTTGGCATACAGCATAGACACGTGGTCCCATACCATGTGATTTGATTTCAGGTCTGTTGCTTATCCATTTCCTGTTTACTGACTTAGTTAAATTTTTGGACATTAAGGGTCATTGGTAGGAAATTTTCGTAACAGTTTTCTCAGCCACTACTTATCACAGCCTTTTGATATTTGGCATACAGCAGAGACATGTGGTCCCCTACTGTGGGAGTCGATTTCAGGTCTGTCGATCATTCACTTCCTGTTTACCGACAGTTAAATTTTCAACATTAATGGTCAGTGGTAAATTTTATTCGTAACATCATAGCATCATGATATTTGGTATACAAATGCAACTCGGCCTTTTCTGTCTTTGACCCATTTTTTGGGTGTTTTAGCCAAAGTTATGATTCAACCTATTTCTGTTTTAATTTCAGACTCAAAAGGAACACTATCTTAACTTTAGGAAAGTATTTCATGGTGATAACCGCAATATTTTTGAGCGTCAGAAGAAGACGGCAGTGAAAATTGGTACAAAGAGTCACACAGACATGTATGGTCAGGCCCCATTTCCTGCTGTAAATAACGCTGCAGCTGTTGCTATGGCAACCGCTCTAACACGTAGTCAACATCCGCAGCCCACTGCAGGAGCTCCACCTGTCACAGGCATGAGCAGTTTTCAACCTTCATCAGGATTTGGCGCACCTGCCTCAGGTATGACAACCTAAGTTTCATTATATATATTTATATTTTCTAATGTATCCCAAACATCTGTTTTATATTTTTGGATACTTAGATGCTTACTTTTCTGCATAGCTTGAATGTAATTAAACTGTGGTGTATTAACATGTAATTATACATCTTTAGATAATATTCCCGGAGGGCACTTTTTATACTAGTGATAGCAATTAGTCTAAAAGACAGTGGCCAAGCCATGTTTGAGTAACAAAAGTAATGAAATAGCAGAAATGTTGTTGAATCTTGCTATGGTTAAAACATATTATTTAGATGGTGTTTAGGTAATAATTTATTTTATGAAATAATCAACATGTTTTAAAAGATATCTTTTAGAATAGAGCTTTGATTGAGCTTTTTTGCTATTTTTTTTATTTTATATATTTGAATAAGAGAGAGAAAATAGATTTATCAGACAGATGTATATGGTTTGATGAAACAGGAACAGCTCCAGAGAAAATTTGTCATGTTCTTCTTTCCCAACATCATTGTTACATCATTGAACCATTTAGTTGTCATAATTGTCTCGGACGTAGAGTATCATGGTCATATCAATCATGGCTGATTCAGAAATCATGTTGGAACCAGATTAGTAGTCTGTCACTTGTTCAGACATAGTTTATAACTGGTTAGTTTGCCTGTTTGGAAGATCGACAACTGTGATATGAACACAAAAAATTGTGTAAGAACCAGAAAAACAAACAAACAATGAAATAATCATGATATTAGTGTTCGATTAATTGACCAATTACAACTTTTAACAAATGACATTAATTTTCCAGGATTTGGTGCATTTGGATCAACTACACAAGCATCAACTTTCAAAGGTAAATGAATTTAGTTCTTTGGAAATAGAAAAAACAGCCCATCATATCTAAATGGTTCAATAATCACCAATGTTGGTACAGATTATCTGTGAATAGTCTCTGCTATTCTATCTGCCTATTTCATTCTACATGTTTGCCAGTTTTCTACTTGTATCTTTATTAAACAACCGAGCCATTACACTTATAAACTCAGTAAATATTCAGAATATAAATGTTTATATCTATATACATGAATATCATACATTAAAGCTACATATTTTGTTTAAAAACATGCAACACTGTTAGATATTTAACATGAAAGGAATGAAAATTTGTAACGAAAGTGTTATGAGTAACAGTTTTTAATTGTTTTACAGTAGAATCTACCTGTTATTTTATTTTGATACAGTAAGTTTGTAATGACATCTTTGTTTTTTCATTTCATATAGGTTTTGGAACTGGAACCAGTAACTTCGGGACAGGAACAAGTCTATTCGGAAACAGTTCAAACCTTGCAACAACGCTGGCTGGTTCCCTGTTCACCAGTACTATACCAGGAGCCACACCTCAACTCAATCTCTCGTCAGAGCCCTTTCAGCTTAACAAACCCCCGGTTGGATCTAAGAGGGGCAAAAGATAGACGATTTTCTCTGTAATACGTATATAACAGAAGATGGTTATTTCAAGACATGTTTATCAGCCATGGATTATAACAATTTAGACAGTGTAATTCAAGCAAAAGTAATGTGACATAATGATATGTATATAACAAAAGATGGTAATTTCTAGACATGTTAATCAACCATGGATTAAAATAATTTGGACAGTGTAATTTAACTAAGGAAAAGTAATGCGACATAATGATATCATTAAGAATGTACTTACAGGTTGTATGAACGGGCAGTAATATTAGATTTATTGTTGCTCTCAGTTTACTTTTGTTCAGCTGTCAAGTTTCCTGATGTTGTATTAGTGCATATTATGTTAAGTGAAATTTACAGCATTGTCATTTTGTATAAATCAATAGATCCAATATGACTAAATTTGTCAATACTGATCTATATTCACATGAAAATCAAAGAAAAAAAATTAACAAATCAGTTTGTTAAAATTGTTTGATTTTAAATTCATTTTCAATTGTTGAAGGTAAAATTTTTTTTAGCTCCACTTCTTGAAGCTATTGTAATGACCCTCTCTTCAGCATTAAACTTTTTGTTTAGGTCTATTTTCTCAAAAACTATACAAGCTGTTAAAACTTGGTATACATCTGTATAATATTAATAAGAGGACGCCATATCAAAAAGACTGATAATCCTCAAATTATTTTCTTAAAGTTATGCCCCCTTTTCAACATATTTTTTGCCTTGGTCATTCCATTTTCTCAAAAACCATCAGTCATTCTTTTCAAACTTGGTGTATATGTACACTTTCAAAATATGCTATATTAAAAAACTGCAGATAAACCTAAAATGATGCAGAAAGATATTTTGAAGATCTGAATTAGATGTCTTAAAGTGAAAAAGTGAGGTTTTATCATTTAATCATTCAAGCGCCTTGTTTGGTATATAGACCAGAATATGGTATTTAGTAGATGCTCCCAACACTTTTTACTCTCATTTGTATATATCATAGTGTTAACATATCCATCTACTGTATCATCACTGGAACATAAAGTTGAACATTTATGTCATTGTGGTTAAAACCTTAATTTTGGCATATCAGATTTAATTTTTGTGCCCCCACGTTAGTGGCGGGCATTTAGATTTACCCTTGTCCGTCCGTCCGTCCTTCCGTCTGTCCGTCCGTTCACTTTTGTGTCGCACGTAACTCAAAAAGTATTTGACCTAGAGTCATGAAACTTTACAGGAATGTTGATCAGCATGTGTAGTTGTGCACCTGGGTATTTTCGTCTGGATATTTTTAGTATTTTCAGAGTTATTGCCCTTGACTTAGTAAGTAAAATTTTGCAATTTTCAACTTGTGTCGCACATAACTCAAAAAGGATTTGACCTAGAGTCATGAAACTTTACAGGAATGTTGATCAGCATGTGTAGTTGTGCAACTGGGTATTTTCGTCTGGATATTTTTAGTATTTTCAGAGTTATTGCCCTTGACTTAGTAAAATTTTGCAATTTTCAACTTGTGTCGCACATAACTCAAAAAGTATTTGACCTAGAGTCATGAAACTTTACAGGAATGTTAATCAGCATGTGTAGTTGTGCATCTGGGTATTTTCGTCTGGATATTCTTAGTATTTTCAGAGTTATTGCCCTTGACTTAGTAAAATTTTGCTATTTTCAACTTGTGTCGCAAGTAACTCAAAAAGTATTTGACCTAGAGTCATGAAATTTTATAGGAATGTTGATCAGCATGTGTAGTTGTGCACCTGGGTATTTTCGTGTGGATATTCTTAGTATTTTCAGAGTTATTGCCCTTGAGTTAGTAAAATTTTGCAATTTTCAACTTGTGTCGCACATAACTCAAATAGTATTTGACCTAGAGTCATGAAACTTTACAGGAATGTTGATCAGCATGTGTAGTTGTGCACCTGGGTATTTTCATCTGGATTTATTTAGTATTTTTAGAGTTATTGCCCTTCACTTAGAAAATTTTTGCAATTTTCAACTTAAGTCGCAAGTTTCTCAAAAAGGATTTGACATAGTCATTAAACCTTATGGGCAGGTTGCTCAGCATATTTTAGATTTGCACCTGGGGTTTCGCTTGTGGATTTATCCAGTATTTGTAGAGTTATTTCCCTTGACTTAGTAAAAAGATTGACAGAACAGTGGCGCGGTGGGGGCACCCGTGTCCTATGGACACATTTCTAGTTTATAGTTGATATTTGATAGTTTGTTGTGAAGTAATTCCCACTCTGTAAATATCAATAGCACATATGGCTTTACTGGATAAAGTTATTTGGTTCATACATTATTTCAGGCACAAGCTGCATCCGTGTATAAAGGTTGACCTTATAGAATAGTTTGATAGAGCAATTTGGTGTGAGATAAATAGTAATGGTTTCAACTATGTACATGTATATCTGACCTAAGAATAATGCATCTGAAATAACTTTGTAAGTATTAATATATATCATTTTTGTCAATAAATAGTCAAACACAGTTTTCTTTATCAATTTTGTTGTAGGGGAGACCATGACCAGGTTCTTTAAGTTTTTTTAGCTCACCTGTCACAAAGTGACAGGGTGAGCTTTTGTGATCGCTTTTCGTCCGGCGTCCGTCCGTCCGTCCGTAAACTTTTACTTTAAATGACATCTCCTCATAAACCACTAAGCCAATTTCATCCAAACTTCACAGGAATGTTCCTTTGGTGGTCACCTTTAAAAATTGTTCAAAGAATTTAATTCCATGCAGAATTCTGGTTGCCATGGCAACCGAAAGAAAAAACTTTAAATATCTTCTTTTAAAAAACCATAAGAGCTAGAGCTTAGATATTTGGCATGAAACATCTTCTAGTGAGTGTCTACAAAGTTTGTTCAAATAAAAGCCCTGGGGTCAAAATTGGCCCCGCCCCGGGGGGTCATTGATTTTCGCTAAATGCATATAGTAAAAACTTAAAAAATCTTCTTTTAAAGAACCAAAAGAGCTAGAGCTAAGATATTTAGCATGAAATATGTTCTAATGGGTGTCTACCATGTTTGTTCAAATAAAAGCCCTGGGGTCAAAATTGGCCCGGCCCCGGGGGGTCATTGATTTTCCCTATATGCATATTGTAAAAACTTAAAAAATCTTCTTTTAAAGAACTCAAAGAGCTGTGGCTAAGATATTGAGCATCAAACATGTTCTTATAGGTGTCTAACAAGTTTGTTTAAATAAAAGCCCTGGGGTCAAAATTGGCCCCGCCCCAGGGGGTCATTGATTTTCCCTATATGCATATAGTAAAAACTTAAAAAATCTTCTTTTAAAGAACCAAGAGTTAGAGCTAAGATATTTAGCATGAAACATGTTCTAATAAGTGTCTACCAAGTTTGTTCAAATAAAAGCCCTGGGGTCAAAATTGGCCCTGCCCCGGGGAGGTCATTGATTTTCCCTATATGCATATAGTAAAAACTTAAAAAATCTTCTTTTAAAGAACCAAAAGAGCTAGAGCTAAGATATTTAGCATGAAATATGTTTCAATGGGTGTCTACCAAGTTTGTTCAAATAAAAGCCCTGGGGTCAAAATTGGACCCGCCCCGGGGGGTCATTGATTTTCCCTATATGCATATAGTAAAAACTTTAAAAAATCTTCTTTTAAAGAACTCAAAGAGCTATGGCTAAGATATTGAGCATGAAACATGTTCTAATAGGTGTCTACCAAGTTTGTTCAAATAAAAGCCCTGGGGTCAAAATTGGCCCCGCCCCAGGGGGTCATTGATTTTCCCTATATGCATATAGTAAAAACTTAAAAAATCTTCTTTTAAAGAACAAAAAGAGTTAGAGCTAAGATATTTAGCATGAAACATGTTCTAATAAGTGTCTACCAAGTTTGTTCAAATAAAAGCCCTTGGGTCAAAATTGGCCCCGCCCCAGGGGGTCATTGATCATTTGGGGGGGGGTTTGGGGGGCCTATATACAGGTGAGCGACCTCAGGGCCATCATGGCCCTCTTGTACTTTTAACCACTTTGACCCTCACCACCGTGTCAGGGACTTTGTATTCTTTGTGTCAGAAGGCTATCCATCTAGTCTATATAGCCTTGGTGGTTTTACTTTGGGTGCCTGATTGCACCTGAAATAATGCACCGGGGGCACTCGAGGTCTTCCTTCACCAGTAAAGCTGGAATATCACCATATATGTTGGTGAAACATAAAACCAATTAAATATGCCCGTGTTTTAGGGCCCATTTTGGAAGTTTACTAAATAACAACCGGTTCTGGTGTTGTTGGGAAAAACAAAAACTTTTACATATTAAAAAAAAAAAAAAAAAAAAAAAAAAAAAAAAAAAAAAAAAAAAAAAAAAAAAAAAAAAAAAAAAAAAAAAAAAAAAAAAAAAAAAAAAAAAAAAAAAAAAAAAAAAAAAAAAAAGAAAAAAAATAAAAAAAAAAAATTAAAAAAATAATAAAAAAAACATATTAATGTAGCTTGTTAGAGAACAAGAGTTTGTTTCCTGGATATTGTATGTGAAAACTGGGTTATGAGTGGAGTAGTTCTTTAACCACAACATTCAATGATATCTCGGAGGTGAAGAACATGTTTCTTGTAACACTTGTCCATGAGTATTCTGATGTAAAGGACCTACTGACTTAAACACTTGGTCAGTTTAGGCTATACTATGAAGTACTTGATCTAAGAATACTCTTTCATAAATTATAATTAAAGAAAACAACTCGACAGATTGTAAAAATATTCAACTAACATTTTTATTTTTTAGTACATTTGGGAGTGATTTTTTTTTTCATTGAAATATATATATACAGTAACAATAAATATATGGTAAGACATAACAAAGTAAGAGAAGAGTTCTAGCAAGGTGAATAAAGAGGGAGATAACTCAATAATACAAGGAGAAACAATATTATAACATGAAATATTGAAACATCTTCAAACTGAATTATCTTCTTAGCTGTATGATAACAAAAGTTCTCTTATTTTACATCAAAACTGGATATTGTTTTATCAAAATCATACATGTCAACATAATAAAATATACCAGAATAAATATTGTAACCAATCAGTAAAAAACAGATTACAGTGTATATTATACAGTAACAATTACATAAATAACACAGTTCAAACACATCTTCTAAATACAAGAATATATATATTACATTGGTAAAAATACCAAGTATAAAACAAATATTACAAGTATTTTCCCCATTTTATTATTATTATTTATTTTATTTCATTCATTAATAATGGATTATTGTTCAAGTAACTAAGTAAGTGCTCTAGGCTTAGGGTTTATTTACTATAGGCCTTAATCAATGCGTGCTAAAAGTAGGCAACAAAAATATATTAAGGCAAATATGTATCAATAAAATTAGGCACTTATATATAATTTCCTTCAGTAGGTCATCTTAAGTCTTAATCTTGATTCTTCAACATGAAAATGAAGTTCTATGTACTGTTTACATGAAAAATTTTAAAGCTTGAATTTGAAATTTTGTTTTGTTTATAAAACGACCTACCTCAAATAAACCTATATTTTATTTGATAAATTCTGAATGGTGTTGTAAAACTGTTATGTTGTTACAATACATCTAACATTTAAATGCTTAATTGACATGACAATATTGTTCACTACTTTCTTAGGTAACAAAAACTAACACTAAAACAATGTACATTATATTCAATCTACAATATTTAGAACTAGGCACTTGTTAAACGTCACCCATTAAACTGCATACAGTCATGTTATATAATGCCCATAGGAACTTTGATCCATTTATACATGTAATGAGTACACACATTGCTATTATTTATAAAGGTTTGAGGACAAGTTTATATGACCAGGGATAAAATGTTGTATAACCATAGGCTGCTAGAATAATTCCTCAGTTTAAGATGCATTATTATGTTACTAGATATAAATGAATATTGCAAACAGATATACATATATAACTGCTGGGTTTTATATTTACATGTAATTTGCCAAGCATTCACTTCTTTAGAGAGAAACAGACAGACAGACAGAGAGATAAAAAGAAGTTTTAAAAATAAAAACAAAATTGGAGCAAATATTGAACATCACACATCTTTGCATGTATGACACAGTCAAGTTAACATTTAGGTATACATGTACCTATTTCTTCTAGTTTCACTAATATTGAAAACAACTTTTATTTAAATGTTTCCAGGTTACTTTCGCCATTCAGTTTAGTAAAAATATCAGGCAAGTATGTCTAAAATATGTCTGTACCTCCGAAAAATTATACAAAATTTTTTTGTTTTTTTAAAATCTTATCTAAAATAAAAAGTATAGAAAACCTAAGATCTGCATGACATAAAAAAGTCATCATTTTGGCTTGTTGTGCTACAAGAAAACACAAATAGAAAACACTGGCCATTAATCCTTGAACATAATAGATAACATACATACCCAACAATTATTGCATCAGTCACCCTTAACATCATCAATTTCTTAAATGGACATTTCCAGCACCCAGTTTTGGAACTGTCCATTACCAATTTTGGGTAAGATGAAAATTGACGTTAGTAAGCCAAAAGTATAGAAACTGGTCAGATTTTAATGATTTATAAGCTGGCCTGGGTCTATACTGTTAGCAAATGCTAATAACTTTTACCTCTAGCAGGGTTAGAGTTAACAGAAAAATGTTGGGGGAAGGCAGAAGAGTAAATGTTTACAATTATGAACAGAAAGTCAGTTATATAGAAAATAAGATCCATTTTAAACAAACATATGTTATTCATTAAGAAATAAATACTTGTATATATTATGATACATCACCCTAAATAATACCTGAACATTTAAACAAGTCTTTTATATAAAAGAAAACACCAAAGATTAAGCTTCATACAATGTTAGAACAACTTTACATTTAACCTAAACACTTGGTATATACGTAACAAAAATATCTAGATATAACCTTTAGTTTTACATGTGTAGTAGTTATCATTTTAACATACTCTAAAATTGTACTGAACATTATGGAATTGGAATGAAACAAGGGTCCCTAGGTTTGGAATGGGTATGTAAGGCAAACATAATCGATCAAAACATATTTAAACTTTAAATCAAATGAATCTGTATGTTTATTTTTCTGCTAGCATGTTACAACAAGGCTTCTTCATTCACAACAAAATAATTTCTCTTCACCTTTTTATCAAATAAAATACATATACCACTTTATATAGTGTCATTAAACTCAAATTAAAAAAACTTTTTGGTTTATTAACAAGACATAATGAGCCATACATATAAAGAAAGCCTCACTTTGGTTTAAGCCTATATGAGTATTAGATATGATTTTAAAGTATCACAGCTAAAATGTGAAAGCTAAGCAGAATAAATAGAGTATTAACTACAGCATTATAAATCAACCAGAAACAACAGCACTATGTTTCAACGTTGCTCTTTAATTATCTAACTGAAAGAAAGAAAGATGATAATTGGACAATATAAGTTGTTTTTTTATCCCTAATGACCTCATATATAAGTAAGACCAAGTTTTGAACTTGGTATAACAAAGTTAGCTAAATTGTGTGACCTTTTCTGTTTACTTAAATTTTGTTACCTAGATTTCAATGACCCTCTTATTCATCCTTGACAAGTAATTTATCAAGGGAACAAGACTTATCACCAGATAAAAAAATCAGAATTTGTCAGAATGTTACATAACAAATATTAAGCCATAATGATCACAACAGATCATTATCTAGTACTTTAATATCAAGTGAGCTAAAACTGGAAACAAATCTTATACTTATCACATGGTGAGAGAATCTATAGTCCAACTCCAACTTGAATTTACAAAGGAAAAATCTAATATCCAAGGTATCAAAAGTCTAAAAAGATATAGACTTGAGTTAGGCTACCAAATTAATGAAATACAGGAAGGTTTAGAAAGGAAGATTACAAAATGGTTGGCTAACATGAAACATTTTAAGCTGCCAAATTTATGTTTCAGAACATCTACCACACAAAACTTATCAGCATTATTTTTCTAAGACTATTCTGATACTTTCTACTTCTATAATGATTTTTTCATTGTATTAAATATCAAATTCGCTTGATTTAACATACTTCAACAAATTATACTTAACAATATAAACATAGCACATTTCAAATGTCTGTAAGCCACATCATAATAACAGGAAATAAAACACATCATGTTTGACATGAAGTACAAAAATAATATTGTGAAACTATTTTCTCATGTCTTAAATTGATTTTTTTATTTTCATAAAAAACCTGAGCATTTACCATTCACATATATACATAAAATCATGTTCAGTGGTCAGTGGTACATGGTCAGTGTTATGGAATATGGAAGTTTATACAAACGTTAGTGAGCAAAGTTGGCCCAACTCTTGGAATGTGGGTGGGATATTGAATTCCTTGTGTGTGGAAACAAATTAACACATATAATGTTGAACATCGTTAGATCATATATACACAATGTAAACCACGTCACATAAAAACAATAGCACTTGAAAACCATATGGAGCACATGATGTCTATATTACAATGTGTAATTCACATTAAACTACCTTTATACTTTCAATTAGAACAATTTAAAGATCATATTTTTATCAAATATTTATAACTTCAAGCATTATCATTTAATTCCAAATTTGACAAAATTATTGTCAAAGAAAAAGTCTACAAAGTGTATTTCCAAGCAGTTAATGAAGATTAATATCAATAATCAATATGTATACATTTTGCTTACAAAACGTCCCCAAATAATTATTTTCTCTTACAAATTTCAATTTATTAAAATTTAGAAAACTACAAAAATAAACTACAAAAAAATACTTAAAAAAACTTGATTCTGATATGTGAATACATAGTGTGTAGGTAATGATTAAAATCATATGAGAGAAGCATTGTTATTGTTCCATTAAAGTTTTGATTCAAAGTTAACATATTAATTCTGCAAGAAAACCTCAATTATATAATATTAAAAATAATACATACAATTCTATTTTCAAAAATAAAGAATTCTGATATTGTTATTTTGTTTAATTCTTTATCATAAAGATTGATTGTTGTCTCTGGTTGTCCCCCATCAGAAGACGATTACACATGTTCACACAATGGTAGTAATTTAGAATTATACATGTTTATACATTAATAGCGAGACAACATAATGTACATGGCACATGATTTAATGAGCATTTATAGTTTGTGTACATGTTAAAAGTGTTTATACCTGTATGATAAACCAATACAAATTTACATTTTAACTTCTATACTCCTATAATACACATAGAACTGTCTTATTATACGATGATTTGTATCATGTCCTCAGTAACTTAAAGCCCATCAGTTTTGTTCTTCTTGTTTGTTTTCATTTACACCATTTCAGACACTAATTAAAATTGACAACTATTTTTATGTCTCAAACTTGAAGTCATTGTCAAGAAAACATGATCGGGTTTTCTTTACATGATGTCACTTGTTTTCCATGCTATAACCATTACGTATTTTCTTTTATCACACACATTTTATATAAAGATGGCCTTACAAAATTTTACAGTTTGTTGATGTTTTCTGACTTGATGATAACATATGATTAGTAGAATCATACATTCTTTGTCACATCATATAGACTTACATTAAACTTGTGGCAGGCTCATCTAGACTTACTTAATAGAAATCTATATGAAATGATTACTCATGTAATATCCTACATATCTATGGATACATTAAATTAATGCTTTAAAGATGTATTTTGAATATTACTTAATAGATAATAATATAACATTTCCTACATAACAATTATGTAGAGAAAACATTTTGCCCTCAAGCAATTCTTTTATCACTGACATTAATATTCCACCAATTCATTCCAATAGTAATTATGCTCAATATGTGAACAAAATCATGTCCTAGTTGTAACAGAACACAATCTTGTCCTAGTTGTAACAGAACAATATCATGACCTTATTGTAACAGAACACAATCATGTCCTAGTTGTAACAGAACACAATCATGTCCTAGTTGTAACAGAACAATATCATATCCTAGTTGTAACAGAACAAAATCATATCCTAGTTGTAACAGAACAATATCATATCCTAGTTGTAAGAGACCAAAATCATGTTTTAGTTGTAACAGAACAAAATAATGACCTTATTGTAACAGAACACAATCATGTCCTAGTTGTAACAGAACACAATCTTGTCCTAGTTGTAACAGAACACAATCATGTCCTAGTTGTAACAGAACACAATCATGTCCTAGTTGTAACAGAACAATATCATGTCCTTGTTGTAACAGAACAATAGCATGACCTTTTGTAACAGAACACAATCATGTCCTAGTTGTAACAGAACACAATCTTGTCCTAGTTGTAACAGAACAAAATCATATCCTAGTTGTAAGAGACCAAAATCATGTTTTAGTTGTAACAGAACAATATCATGACCTTATTGTAACAGAACACAATCATGTCCTAGTTGTAACAGAACACAATCTTGTCCTAGTTGTAACAGAACACAATCATGTCCTAGTTGTAACAGAACAAATATCATATCCTAGTTGTAACAGAACAATATCATATCCTAGATGTAAGAGACCAAAATCATGTTTTAGTTGTAACAGAACAAAATAATGTCCTAGTAGTAACATTCAAGATCATGACCTCATTGTAACAGACTATAATCATGTCCTAGTTGTAACAGAACAAATGATGTTCTTGTAACAAGAAATCACGCCCTAGTTGTAACAGAACATTTTACGTCCTAGTTGTAACAGAACAAATCATGTCCTAGTTGTTGTAACAGATCTTATAATCACACTCATGCTGACATGGTTACCAAATCTGAGTTCTCTAATCTCTTCAGGCTTGTGTCTATCACTTGACCTGAATAATCCTAGCACAGGACAGATAACTCCTCTCACACAAACAGAGTTCAGTGTGTCCAGTGCTCTCCCTTGACAAACTTGAATGATTTTGAAAGTAAGGGCAGGATACAGCTTTTCCTTGAGATTTGACTAGCAAATGAAACCCGAATTTATCTGCATGTTATTTGGCCACGTCACATGATCATCAGTGTCACATAATTAGATCATGTGACTCAAATATTCTGTACACAGAATGACAAAATCACATGAAAGTGTAAGTTGAGATTTAATCTCCTCTCTCACATGGCTATGCATTCGTACAGTCTATTTCTATGATCTGTTTAGGGACTTCTGCAAACTGATACACCAATCGTTGACCATCAACTTTATTTAGGATTCCACGAGCATAGTAGTACCTGTAAACAAAGTAAATAACTTCATTATGATATATACATTATATAGAAATATAAATATTAAATATGTTAAATCAAATGTTTCATCATGTTTTAAAGAAGCCATGTCATTTCTTAACCTTTAACCTTCTCAATTTGTGAAATGAATCTGTCCTTCTAAAAATTTGGAACTGACCGTTCAAACTTTAAGGGATTTTATAATAAAAATACCAAAAGAGCTGCCCACAGTATAGAGCCTAGTCAGACTACATGGCGGCTGGCCTCGCATTAAACTGGTGACCAAGGCTTATATCAGTTTAGATTCCAGCAGGTTAACGGTTAAACTAGGCAGATTGCCTATCAGATGTTGCAGGGGATCTTAAATACCCAACTACGGTCATAATGAAACCCTTGCTTAATATGATCAACACCTTACTGCACCATGGTGAAGACTAAATTATTAGAATTGTGTATATTTTAAGTATGCAACTTATACTTCTTACTTGTCTTAAATGTATGGAATTTTTAAAGCTCGATTCTGATGAATAAATTCACAACCATTCATGTTTTCAGTCATTACAATTTACAAGATTTATTAAAATCAATTTTCATATAAAATATTCGTATTAAATGAGACCTTTGTTGTTGTTTTCACATAAGATATACGATTATATACTCCAATTATGACAACATAACAAAACTTTACACACATAATTTATTTCTTCTCATAAAATACTCATTTAGATAGGAATAGTTTCTTTCCATTCCTCCTCTGCCACAATCTCATTAATAGGACAAAATACGCATATAACATTAATTAACTTAAATTGGTCACTAGGTAAAGTGTGCTACATTTTGCAAAACCATAGTTGCATGAAAAATGTAGCTCTGGTAAAACAGAAAAAAAAACACTTGCAAATTACTTAAAAGTAGATATTTCATTATATAAATGGTGAGAGGTGTCATTATATAGCATCATAACTAATGGACATTGTGTGAAGACTTGCACCTAAATGGCATACAACATCTTACATTAAACAACCCTAGAAGTGTTATGTATATCACAACATCTGTTGCTGTTTGAAAAACTTAAGTCTTTGTCATTTTTCTTGTGATTTAACACCAACTATATGATATATATCATTATTTCAAGTGCATAACTGCCTAACTTTCTTAACAAAGACACTTTATTTTGAATCTTGTTGACAATTTAGAGGGTATCTTTGCAATTGCCCCTTCATTACGTTTTCTCCAGGATTGAGATAGACTGTAAGTGTTTCACACTTTATTTTCCATCAGCTAAACATTTAATTTAGTGATACAGTCAGAATACTTATAAAAACATATTTACATGAGATTTGTTTTGATTTGTTACCCCTGGCATACAATACCAATGATACTATGCTGAATTAAAAACATGGAATTATATTCAAGCCTATGATCTAACAACTATCTCAAACGAGTTGGGGAGTCCGAAGCCTGGCAAAAATTCATTTCAGATAATAATGATTTATCTCAGCACACATTTTGTTTTTGAACCGTTAAATACAAAATCTTTTATGAGTTAATAGGAATAATACCTTAAGGCTCTACCCATTGTTTCATAATTCATGTCCGGTTTATTTTTGTGTAAACCCCACAGTTTTGAGACTGCTTTCGAATCAACAAGTTTGAATATTCCCTTTTCTCGATTTGTCCATTTAATATATCGTGGACATGTTTCTCTGTTCTGCAGCAACTGTAGCAAAAACTCCCACAGATATGTTGTACTACCTGAAAATACATATGGATTTTTTTGTGGTTACAAAAGCAAAAAAATGATATTATAAGAGAGATAGATTTATATCAAATGACAAGCTATCATTAAACTTGGTAAGTATAGAGTAAATTTACAACTTTTTATACACATTACGATCATTTTCTGTTGATGAAAATAAACCAACAAGAATGATAGGTGCCTGCTTAATTGTCTGCCTATAAATTCATCTGTTGTGAAATGAAAGAAGACAGAAGCATGTAGGTTGAGACACATTTTTCTCATGAAGGAATTCTGTGTACTTCCTGGCATTATCATACACAGTCAAGGGACATGGGGGAAAGGGGTAAATAAATAATATAGTCTGTTCATAAAGCCGAAAAATTTAATATGTAAATATTCATGGTATCTGTTAAATCTTGTTCTACATGTATATACATGTTTATATAAGTTTATTTTATTATGCTTCACAAATACATTTTTTCACTTCATTTTCTTAAACATTCACTACTGTGAAAATTTTCTACGTGTTACTGAAGCACCCAGTAAGTTTCTTAACTTTAAAACAACGTAAACATATTTTCTATATTGTTTACACAAAAATTGACATTATAAAACACATAAGTAGCTAACATGTTCCCCAGTATTTCCCTTGTAGAAACTTCAGACATTCTTTACATTACATCTCTAACTATGGCAGCATTCTGTTAAAATATCAGGGAGTGTTTCTCAGATATTAACTGTTGACTGTCTCAAAATCATACATAATCAAACACATTACTTTCCAATGAACTAGTTTCAAAATCAATACTGTCTTCTTGTGGAAAATCTAAAGGAGACATGCCACAAGATACTTTATAATAGAAACTATTTTGGTATGACACAAGTACATGACTGTGTTGTTACTGAAGCAATATACATTAACATGTATGTTAACAAACAGAAAGTTCTTGTGACAGATACAACTTTAAAAAGCAACAACACTTTCATATATATCAATCCACTTATAATAAGACTTTTACTGTAAATCATAAGTGTTCAACAAAACTAACATGGAATATTGTTTGCACCAAAATTTAAGTATAACAGAAGTTTGGTTTATTTTCTTGAAATAATATCAAACTTAGAATGCTAGTCATTTTGTAATTTCTGTACAAAAAAATAGTTGAAAATTTTCAGTTAATACATGAGCCACTTGCTTTAAACTTGATCTAAATAAAATGTTTATAAGGCACTGTGTTCTATTTTCCATGAATCATGTATATTATTTCATTTAAAGCAAGCAAATGATATACAGATTTCTTCCACAAATAAAATTTCTTCAATAATTGAAACTGACAGACCTATATGCCACAATTTGAAGGAGCTAGGTATTACATGCACTGACTTCATAAAGTCCAAAAAGACTTGAAGCTGTAAAATGTTCTGCCCATACTTATTGTATTTATATAAGACTTGTTTTGCTTTCAATTTGGAAAATTTTATTGTTATTTGTGATCAGTTTTAATAATGAAATGCTATAATAAGACTCTGTGCTTGAACCAACTGCATGCATGCCAGTCTTGGGGAATATTGGCAGCACAGGCAAGTTTTTTTTCCATTACAGTTTTAATACTTCATTACTAAAAAAAAAAGGTTTTTTTCCCATTACAGTTTTACAAGTGTACAGTGTATGCAGGAATCAGTCCCAGCACATTTTAACATTATGCAATATGTTTGCATCTAGCCACAAGATTATCAAACTTTCTATCTCTAACCACACTCGTATATCTGACCATCAGATTGTGAGGAGATATTTGTACCAAAGAAACTGTTGCTATAGTAACAATGCAACAACATAATGTCTTTGATTTATTTCATTACTAGTTTTTATACTTTTCGAAATATATAACCTTCTAAATGGCTAAATATATCTACACTTGTATAATGAGAGAGATTTCTTCAATCAATATACAAGTAGAATATGGTCAAGCAATCTAAAACTGTATAAAATATATTCTATCTCCAGAAACCTTAAAGTCTGCCGCGTATGTTAACCTCGTGATTATATTTCTATAAATATAACAAATTAAACTCTCTAAAAATTTCGTCAGAGAATATTCATCACCGCCGATATTTCAGCTTCTGGTTACCAAAGAAAATCTCAGCAATTTATCTCGGAAAATAATAAATGGTGGTTAAAAGTAACATTTCAACAAAAAATTCACCAAGTACTCAAAGACCCTCGTCCTTCCATTTAAACAAAAAGTAAATGATGGACTGGTCTTGTAAAAGATATTTATATTTCAGTAAGAAAATTTCCCCGCAAGTTAATTATAAGCAATTACATTGTTAGCTACTGTGACGTTAGCACCAGGATCACCTTACAACACAAAAAAAATATATAGGGTAGAGTTTTTTTAAAAAAACATTTCAAAATTTACTAATACTTGGCAAAAAATTTCATTTCCTTGTTATAGAATGCACACTTATTTTGTCAAAACTCTAACATTCCTTTTTATTCTGCAACAGAGGTTTTTTTAAATCTGTTTAGTCAATCAATATCAGATCTTGTTCTTTATCATAAAAGTATGTTTTTTCCCCAAATTAAAAATTCTGGGTTTCTGGTCATGTTCAATTGCCATGTTGAGTCTGAAACAAGTAAGCTATTACTATGATACTTTTTAACAATTGCTATAAAATAGAAATTCATTTTTTTTATTGTGATGAAAGTAAACTTTCAGAATTGGCAATTTGGCTGTTTCTGCCCCTCTTTTTTCCCCACAATTTAAACATTTCACAAGTCAAATATTTCCTACCTGGACAGACAGGACACTTACCAAAAGCAGCAAGAATAAGAAAACACTAGACACTTTGTACTCTTATACTGTTTCTTTACTACTTTCATTTAAGAGAGAAAAAAAACCAAGACTGTTGGTGAAAAAACTAAAGAAAACTTACTTTCCCTTTTTCGTTTAGGTTGATTGAGCTGTTGATGATATTCTGCTAACTTTGGTTTTCTACCTGAAAACAACAACAACAGTATATAACAATCATAAACCATAAAAAACACTGAACGTAATTATGAATATTTCTTGTTATACAAATCAAGGTTATAAATCTTGAATGTTGGGTGACTAGCAAATCACGATGTCATTCAAGAAAATAACAAGGAATGGGCAGCAGTGAGTGGTTTCTAGGTGACTGATGTTCAACTCTTTAATATTAGTACCAGAGAGTGTCCTTGAGTTACAAGAACTTGTTTCTACATCAAATTTAAATAAATATGTTCAAACTAAAGTGAATGACCAAAACCATGTTGGAAAGGTAAAATTAATTTAGAAGGCTATTTAAACTTTATATGAAAATTTCCTACTAATTACAAATATAAAAACATGTCTAACAAAGATTTTTTTATCATGAAATTAAACAATGTTGGCAATTCTACTTTACTTTCAATAAGTATTGCATGCAAAAACACCATAAATTTTCATTAAGAAAATTTTTTAATTTTACAATATCTTCAATTATTAACAAAAGATATTTACAATGTCTGAAGCATGTTATTAGCAAGGGTGAAGGTGGTAGGAATAATATGCACACATTTTACATCATATAACTTCAAAAGATATTTACCACAGAATTGTGATTTTGTGACATGTTCAAACAATGCTTTTTTTTTAAATGAAAGGCGTTTCACATATGAACACCTACACATATTAACCATGTTTTTGTGTCATAAAATACCGTGTTCTTTGTACAGCATTACAAGTTAAGAGTGACAAAAATGAAGTAAGAACTACATATCAAAGCATAAAACACTGTCTTCCTTTATATCAAAATACAAATTCGTACTCGAGCGTAAAATTTAAATTTCCTACTTTGTTTTTACATTTTTCTTTATGGAACACTTTATAAAATGATTAATTAACAAAGAATAAAAACTGTACACAAAACTTTAAGAAAAGCTCTTGGTAAGTTTGTATCTGCATTTATTAAAGTAAACATGTTTTAATCTTGACCCTGTTCATAGTAATTGCAAATGCAAGATGTCAAAGAAGACCTTTATTCCCCCCCTGAGTAAATGCAAAAGCAGATTTAAGGGCAATCTTTTAAAGATATTTCTAGCAACTGAAACTGTAATATGTACTACACTTTTTTAATAACACTTAAAAGGCTCACTCCTGTAAAATTTTGTCAAAATTTAGACATTGCACTATGTTTGTCAGCATCAATATCCCATATCAAGTATCATTTAGGAATCTGTAATCTACCTATGTTTAAAAAACAAACTATCCACCCATTAATTCAATGATAAGTAGTTTGTATATCATATCTCTAACTATTACATAAAACATCCTTAAACATTCCCCAGTTATTTTAATGATAAAAAGCATAAATTATGTACGCATTGTTAAGCTTTTTGGGACAAATCAAATTCATTACTGTTTCACAAGAAGCAGAATGAGATATGCCTATCTCAACACCATTAATAATGCAGTACAGGTAAATACGTACAATGTAATCTGAAACCATCTTGACAACTTCATAAATACTCTAGAATTTAAACTAGCACAAAGCTTCATCTTAAACAAATTATGCTACTTCTTTCCAATTGCCAATTTTGTTTTCATTTTCCCACTTCTTCTGTTTCATCCAACTTTCTTAACCATACTGACAACAGAAGTGTCAGGTTCTGGTAATAATCTGAGTATCATACATTAATATCCTATCAATACAACGTGCCTCCTGTTTGTTACCCTATTTATGCCAGTTTTATTTATAGCTATATTCTGGATTAATCTGGAAATACACTGACTTATAATGGTGCCTGTGTAGTTGGTCACAACTTTACCTTTATTTTTAAGACATAAAATTATATTTTTAGCTGCCACTGAGGTTGGTTATGGATAATGCCATAGTATATTGATAATGTACAAGAAGAATTGTATACACACCTTTTTTACTTTTAAATCTGAGAGGTGATGAAGGGGGTGTTGTTGATGAAGTACCGGAGTCGGACTCCGACATGAATGGAAATCCTGATGCTGGAGTATGAAGAGGACTTGTATGACTTTTGTATACATCTGAAAATAACAATACACATTGATTCTATTATAATAATATTATATACATGTATTTATTTTCTATATTTCTAGGATATGATTTACAATCTGTTGAATATCACCAAGAAACCTGTCTGTCTCCACCTGAGCTACATTATTCTATTTCTGTATGGTCTCTATACAATTATTTTAGACCTTTTGTTCTATATTAAGTCAACATATTCATCAAAGCTTGATTGTGAAGCAAGTTATAGTAACACTACTGACTCTGATTCCTGGCATTCCAAGAGGAAAACTTGGCTTGAACAAAGTAAGATTTAAACCCTTGATCCCTGGCTTGACAGGCATGTCATATAAATAAAATGCTGTCATTTCTTTTATAACAACAATTCTCAATCATAATAATTCATGTCAATTTCACAAAACATAACTTACAACATGACATGTATAACATAAGATAAAATCATAATAATATATAGTATTGTTTTTGTTTGTAACTACAGACCCATGTTAAGATGTAGTAAATTTCACTCCTGATAGAGCATTAATTACCTTTCAAAACATTCCTAAAACTTCAGATCTTGTACTTTACAAAATATATTTTGTTTCACAATATCAAAATGAAAAGCAACAATTTTCCAGTATAGAAGAAAAAAAACAACAACATAAATTTCAAGCAAATTATCCTCAAAAATAAATCAACAAGAAAATATTGGCAAGAAAGGTATCATCTTACCAGAGCAAAACTAAACAAAATGCTTGATTACATTTTACTCATATTTCATATTTTCAGGTTTCTCAATCCTATCTCTCATAACAAGATCAAAGGAGCTGTTAAGGATAAATCTATCAATATAACCATATATAAGCTGACAAAAATAGAACCAACTTTACAAATGTTAATTATTTGCCATCACACAGTACAGGCATTATTATAGTATGAACACATCTAATCAAAAACTGAATTTTCTAAACAAATGCTTTCAACCATATAAACCGGAGGTGCTTTTTTACCTTGAAAAGCAATCTAATAATAATACAGAATGATGGTGATAATGAGAAATCTATGTGCGTTACTTATTCCAGAGTAGAAAATGAGTTTCTACTAATCTTCCTGCATTTTATCTATATAGAATTAGTTAACTTATTAACATAAGATAAAATACGTACTTGATTTCAAGTAATAAAAATAATTTGTCATGTTACGAATTCATGAAAAAAGTGAACATTTGAATATATTCTGGAATCAGAGGAATTCATGCTCATTTCAGATCACTGGCTGTTTTGTTGTTTTTCACTATTTTCTGCATTATCCATGGATTATCAGAATACAGTACTTAATCCCTACCGGGAATTGATAAATAGTTTCTTTTCATAAAACAGCGACATCCTATCTACTTATTTTCCATAGGCAGGTTTATTTTCTATTTGAAGTCGGAACTAACAGCGAACTTGGAATGTCAATTTCCTTATGCTATTTCCTAGTTAGATATTTACGGAGCCTCATAGATATGCATTTCAAAGGCGTTTTACTCAAATTATTTTTATTATAGATTTGAGCGTTTTTTTGTGGGAAAAGTATTATTGCTACATTATTTACAGATTTATGTACACCCAAACTCTAGAATTGCTACATACATCATCCTAATGCTTCTTTGCAGACAAAATATTTGAGTACAATTTTCACACACTGTATCTTTCTAGGGCATTATCTTTGAATAATTTTCAAAGTTGAAAAGACTTTAAAACATTATCTTTGAATCATTGTTCAACTGTCTAAGTCTTAAAAGTGACAGTTAGCCCTTTGTCTGTTGGTACCAAGGCGATCAATGCAGACCAAGCTGACACATCTTTGCCGTCTGATAATGGTCTGCACTGTCCACTATTCAGTTAGTAGTTCTTGAAGTTTATCTAAGATGTTTAGAGTTGTAAGGGTTGGAAACAAAACCTAAATCATTCCATAAAACATATTACTTGTTTATTTTATGCTTTAAATCTATTTTCAATATTTTATTAAGCCCTTAAAGCATTATTGAAAACCAACATATCATAAATCCTCCAGTACTGTCACAGATCTTATTTTAGATCACTCAATACAGAATATCTCTGCCTGTATCTACTGTAAAAATGTAATAAAACATCTTAAGTAACTAGGGATTTGAACTTTTTGTTAATATGAATTTGAAATGATAAATTGTTTTAATAAACTTATTGGGTAAACAGTTTCTTAATTCATATACATCTAACAAATTTAAACATGATTGTTGATGCTTATTTACGCTCATCTTTTTATAAATGAAAAACCTTGAAGATTTGGAAAAAGAAAACAACAACAATAACAACAAATCTTGCTAAAATTAGCAATATGATGTATGATTATAGAGTAAGACTAAACACATGTTTATTACACATTAATATTACACCAATTGTTGTAAAGGACATTTCTATACTTAAGCCTGCACAATTACAGTTACACGATAATGTCTCATTATGTAACACAAACATTGTTTCAAAAATTGTTGTAGATACAGGCACGAATTAAAGTAATTAGTAATATGGATATACAAAAATTACATGGAAACAAGAGCTAAGAACATGTGGAGTTTCTTTCACAATTGATTCTTGACATAAGGGAAGTATACATTCAAAGAGGACACGACTTTCCTGTCATAAATCGATTAATGTAAGAGGCTATTACGCTTTGTTTCTAGTGGGTACCTTTTACACAACAGAAAAAAAATCCCATCCTAATCATAATCAGAGTTACTGTTGCTGAGAAGTGACGCTAAGACATGCTTTGGTCATAAAATACTTGTATGGAATTCAGATGACAGGTTTTATGAGGGGACCTCTATAGAGAGAGGTAAACTTGTCTCATTCTTAACTAATAGCTCGCAATTAGATTTATGCTGACTATCATTAGCTAGCACTACAACTGGTAAATGGCAAGTGTGGTACTATATTTTGTGTGCCGCATCTGCGGAAGAAGACAATGTATTGTGCACTCTTCAACCTTACATTAATCTACACAGTTATAATGTGTCTCCAATGTGTCTTTCAAATAACAGATCAACTAAGAATTACTTTTCAGGTGATGTATCATAAAGCTTAATCACCTTTCAGAAGTAGATTAGTCAAAACATATTTTAAAAGCTTTGCCCAACAACAAAATCCCTTTATATATAAAAAATTTTTAAAGTAATTTTCAAGATACATCGTGGACTTCACTAGAACAACTAGTTTATCCCTGAACATGTATGTGTCTTTTCTATTCATTGTGAAGACATTTAATATCTTTGCATCATTTAGAATCAAATACAACATAGCAATTAGACATCACAATGAAACCTTTTTTCTAGCAATACAAGAATACACTAACTGAGCTATTGTAATTTGACAATTCTTCAGGAAATAATGTCAAATTCCCAGACAATTTAGTTAAAATAAGTCTAGGTCTTACATAATCTCCCTATGCAGAATTTTATTCATATATGTTCTCTGAGTAAAACTGTTTAATCAAGTCCAACGGCAACAGCTTATCAACGATTTTATAAATAAGTTTAAAACATAATTTGGACATTCAAATTAAGCCATAGAGAATAAATATACTATTTTGGAAATTAAAACAATCCCATTTTGTGTAGACTTGATAAATTACCTCCTCACAGACCTTGAAAAACTGAGAAATAGCCTTGACACACTAAGAAATGACCTTGACACACAAGCAAATGACCTTGACATGATATGAGTCACCACTGGCATAGACTGACCTACATTGATCATGGATTGATGATGGAGCTAGACATGTTTATCATATGTGATGTCTCTATTTTCACCAAAGTCAACATAAATTAACAAAGTACAACTCAACAATGGAGTGTAAGCTAGACAAACTGAAGATAAAACAATACAGAGGCAGATGTCATTCTGTTTCTAGCATTCTGTCCACATATAAATGTAATTGCCCTAAAAGAAGATTTTGTTCCCTTTCAACATTATTTCCTGCTTACATAAAAGTAGATAAGCTGCAGTTTATGAATATATATACTTTTTTATGTCAACATAGCAAGAGGACTTTTGCAATCTTATCTAGAACACATTGACTGAGAATAAGAGCATGTATTAGTATAGTTTTTCTCAATTCCTAAATTCCATTGACAGACCATTGAATGCCACTTCAAATGTATAAAAACCGGAGATTTATTGTAGGTATAATTAATAAAACACATATGTGCTAGACTGTACTTCCTAATCATAAAGTCACGATATTCCAAAACCATGCCAACTGTCAACAAAAAATCACACACAAAAATTCCTAGAGGGCCTCTTACATTCAGTCAAAATTAGGCTATGTCGTAAGTTTTTGCTGCTATTAATATTTTTTTTCTATCAGCCAGCTGTTATGGTTTCCATCATAGCATATCGAACCACTTGGGAGTATTTAAGTGTACAACTTTCTTTGGAATGAAATTATTTGCATTCACTTCCTTGTGTTTGTGAATGCAGCAAAAATAAAAGATGATGTTAATTCCAAATTTCTTTAAAAGATGTAGTTAAACGTGTCATCAATTACTACATTTATCAATGCAAGAACAAAATTAATCCATACATTACATACAATTGAGCATATTTCAAATTTACACCAGATAGCAAACACTTGAACAAAGTAGATCTACCCTTGAAGATAACACTTTTTTCTTTGAGGCCCTTTGTTAAATGATTTAACTATATGCCAAGTTGCAGTAGATTACAGAACATCTATTAAACCATTACAGGACATATTGCAGTACTTTGACAAACATTAAATAAATAAAGAATGTTTTTGGCACCATACAATAAGGTACAATGTGACAGTTTTACAATTGTTCCATGTTCTCCATGTATAGGTGAATATTTGGTGGATTTATTACCTTAACAAAACAGTATGTAACCTTCCCATCTTGATTTGATGTAATTTATGACCAATATAAATGACAATATTTACATAACAAATGCCACCTTGGCTCTCCTACCTGATTGTTTCCCCCAGTACAGCATCTGCTGATAAATGAAGACACGTAAAAACGTGACAAAACAACATCTATAAACCCAATCATAGTTTTTCACATCATTCCGATTATGATATTATGATAGACAAGATATTGACCTGTAGGCCTGTTTTTAGCTGATGGTTCAAGAATCTGTCTTTATCAACAAACACATAACAAGTTTATTGACATGAAAAAACTTACTGTGTTCAACTAAAACAAGGCATCGTACAGACACTGTAGAATGTCATGTCATTCAGTGCCATCTTGTTGCATTGCAAGATTTATTATTGACAGAAGACTTTATAATTACAATCATCAGTGTTTGTTATCAAGATGCTCGACTAGTCTGCCGAATAGATTAATTAGAATGGTTCTGCTGAATTCCCAGTTCTAGTCCTTACCTTGCTGGAACCAATGATTAGCCTTTGCCACCAGTATAGAGCCAGGCAAGTTTGTACACCAATTTCCTCTTCTTTTTTTATGTATTTCAACTAGATATTTCCCTAGCATTTTCAATTAAGTAATGTTTGAGTGATTACTAATTTCACTTCTAATTAATTTCTGTAACTAAAGGATGTTACCTGCTATTAACTTGGAAGAGTCTATTATACTTCTAGCAGTAAACTTGATGACAAATAAGGCTGCTCACAGTCTGCCAGTCATAAGCATATAAATAATTCATATAAAGTGAGTATAGTTACCTGGTCTCATGGCTACATGGGTGGCTGTGTTGAAATGTGCTGGCAGGGGTTGGTGAGCAGGAGGGGGCTGGCAGAAAGGGACAAATCCTCTATTTGGTGACTGATCTCTGCCTGATGAATGATGTGATGTCAAATATGCTGAAGAAGATAAAACCAGGAAATATTACAAACCAAACAACAAATATAACACTTCAAGGTTCATGAAAACATGTAAGGTATACTGATGGTGTACAGTATACTCCCTTTTGAAGTTAAACCATTTTGTGGACAACTTAATATTGCTACAAGATCTTTCAAAATCAATTTTGTTATCAAATTTGTTGACATGTCACATAATTATTAAAGTTATATACCATTACAGTTACTTCAAATACCAAATATTTTAGCAAATGCTATCAAGAAATAAAATTTATTCATTTTTCACATGTTTTACAGGAACATTTTTGTATCATGAAACCTCTCTTCTATTCATTCAATTAAGCGATAATTACAGTGATGTAGCTATAGTGAGGCATACCAACACATATATCAATTTCAACATTCTATGTGTTCAAATACATTCATGGTATATCTTTAATGCAGTTAATTCTGCCTGAATTATTCCAGAATGAAGGAAATCATTCCTAGCAAAACATTCTTTTTCTGGGACAGCATGCCCCAGTACTGCCCTAGACGTGTATTTTTCAGGTATGCAGGTTACAGCACTGAACAACATTACTTGTTTAAGAAGTTAGTCTTAATTAAAATCTGAAGCTATATTCAGCCATTAATGCCTTTCATATGATCATCAAAAAGTGCCAAATGCACGTTTCAAGTACAAAAAAAAATCTGCCCAATTTTTTAATGATTCAACATTTCTGTGGTTTACATACCATGGAATATTGTAAAAACAAAGAGCAATAACTCTGTTGAATATCAAGGAATCTCATTACACTAAAGTTATCTACATTTATGTAAGATTTAACTACGAAAAGTTTCCCCAAGTATGACTCAAATCAAACAGATGGAAAATACAGATACTTTTGTGAGCTGATAAAGCATATAACATAACATTCCATGCTATCTTAAATGAAAATCTAATAACCTGTAAAATTCTGTTTGTTTTGTTAAAGCTATACATATCAACAGCCAAGTACTTGACCTAAATTTCTTACTTCATAACTTAATTACAGAGATAAAAATAGTTTATCAATAAATGATAAATAATGAGTTAAATTAGGACATATTAATAAAATCACATCAATTAATAAGATTGGAGAAAAAAATACGATGAAAAGTATGAGCTAAACATATAAATAAACATTTTTTCAAGGGGAATAAGTCTTCAATTAATAAATACATTTCAAGGGGGATAACTCCCCAGATAATAAAGTACCTTGTAATCGTAGTTTGTCTTCTGGTGTAGACTCCAAGTCACTGGACACACCACTGTCACTGTCTGCAGGGCTTGGAGGTAATACTGCTGAAACAGCCAATAATATATATCACACAAAATTCTAAACCTCATCAAAATATATACTTTCTATTCTCTTCCATATCCCCCCATCTTAATTAAGATTATATCACAGGCATGGCAAATGTACAGAACGCCTGTAGATTATATATATACACAATGTTCCATAAATTATGTTTGAATTGTATGTATTTTGTCTGTCAATATTAATATTATATGTCTAAGTAGGATTTTTTTTTTGAGAACATGCCACTGGCCTGTTACTATAAAACCACAATGACCAATGACTAACTGGTGTTCATGATTTGGACCTTTCTATTGGTCAAACAGTCTTTAAAACATTGGTAACAGTTGGTTCTATCTAACAAACTTTTTTTGTGTGCAGTAATTTTTCATTCCATTATGTACTACTTAAAAAGTTTTTCCTCTTAATTCATCAGGCAAAAAACTAACATTATTTCCTTAACATTTTTTGATTTTTAAATTCTCTGTGCCATTAACCATGTCCTAGTTTTCTTACAAGTAACCTATTCTAGGTAAATTGCATTATCGTCTAAATCTTGTCTGGAAGTTAAAAATGGAAACATTGACTCTATTTTGGCATGTTTTAAAACAGCTGTATTGCTGATAAGCCATTTATTTTACACGCACCAGCAGAGAATTATTCTATATCACCAAATGTTTTATGATAGGAAAATTATCTTCTGGCAAGCTATTTCACTTCCTGAATCTAATATTTCCGCTGAAAAATCAGCAGTTAACCGAAAGTACTTAAAATCTAACAAGTGGTACATGACTCATGCATGGGAAGTAGGTGATTTCAAAGAATGAAGATACACTGAATATTTCTTATAAGCGTATATAAATTATGTACTTCAATAAGTGTTTATTTGTGGAAAACACCTACAAACTTTGTATTAAGTCATTAAGTCATATACACAAGTTTTATCTCCTCATGTTATTACCTCTATTTTAACATGTTCTTTTTTACCTTACAAACATAAAATCATTAACAATATATAATATTTTATATTTTTCAAATAATAACCTTAAGAGTATAACCTAAGGTACTTTACATATATTATAGTGTAATTAAATTTTTTACTACCACTTAAAGCTATTTTATGAGATAAAATATACAACAGTGAGAAATTCAAGAACAATACACACTTTTAAAAGCAATAGTAAAATGCATAAATTTGTAATAAAAGGGAACAGGTCTTATAAGAATATCAAAACTGGATTAAATGTTGATATGCAATCCTGAGCATAAATTAAAGTGAAGGTCAATAATGAAGTACTTGTGTTCCTAAAAAGGATCAAGCAAATGTACCATTTTTTTTTACCTTTCCACCAAAAATTACTATTTTTCCCAAATAATGACAAAATTTTAAATTTGCTTGTTGTTATAACAAATTTCCTCTAACCTCATTGCACTACTATAGTTATACCAGACACATTCCCAAGAGGGGTAAAGAGGGGCTTGTTTAGATCCCGGTTTACTTCATTTTACATCATTTTTTTTTTTTTTTGTAGGGTTTTATATCACACCAACACAGTTGAGGTCATAATGGCAACTTTTCAGCTTTAATAGTGGAGGAAGACCTTAGGTGCCCTTCTGTGCATTATTTAAGTCAAGAACGGGCACCCGAGTAGAACTATCAGTGCTCTGAAAGCTAGCTGGTTAGCAGCATTTTAATATCAAATTGCTAAAATAATATATCAATGATATTTTTACATACATGTAAACACTCAACATGAAGTGTTGATTATTTTTTTGAAACTTAAGCAATATATTAAGTTACATTTATGTACAAGGCCGAAAAAGTGCATGTCAGTTATCAGATAAAGAGATCAGTATTTGCGTCATATTAATTTCCTGGTATTTATAGGTTTAACTTACTTCTTTATCTTGCTCAAAATCAGGATATATAACCTAAATTATCATAAACTACCCTATCATTGTATAATACCTGTTCAAACATAGCCTATTTTAGCATTGTCTACTGTTTGTAAAGTCTTACAGGAAATTTAATGCAAACCTTTTGTTACACTATTTCAAAAGAGTTTTAAAACTTTACGGAAACATAATAGCTAACCAAAAGATTTGAATAGTTCCTATTTCCTCATTTATACATTTTTCGTCACAGGTCGATGACCGAAAAATATTTCAGTCGGTATTTATTGAACAAAGGTGTTTACAAAACACAGTAAATTTAAACACGTACACAAGGACATGACACTGCATAGCAAATAGTGCGATTATTGAATTCATTTTTTTTTTTTAAACAACTAAAACTTTGCTGTTTATGTGCCTGCAGTTCCCACGAGACTCATTTCCTTAATAAAAACTTCACTAAATTTAAAACTTTAGAAGGAATTAATCTAACCATTTTTCCTTAAACTAAATCTCAGTCAGATTCAAACAAGGTCTATCATATTAATGGCTAACAAAGTGTTTATACTAAGCCTGCTGGTGGCAACTGATTATACCCAGGCTACCAGTGCAGACCAGGAGTAGACCAAGCTCAGCAGGCACATCTGTGCTGCCTGATCATGTGCTGTACTGTTCACCATCAATATAAATATTTAAAATATTCCAAGAAATGATGAATGGTGTGATCACTATGAATGACGGACAAGTCCATTTAAGATATTTAGCGTGGTAATGATTATAATTATATGCAAGGAGTTTCAGTTATGTTTGTCATTTTAATAAATCGTCTTATTTTACCATTTGTTTGTTGGTGAAGTATTCCCTGTAGAAATGTTTTACTTTCAGAACTTGTGCTTGGTGATTCCATACACAACAGAGCCTCCGCTGCTAACTGACGCCCATTCTTCTGTTGTTGTTCACATGTCTCCACTGTAAATACACAACACATATATGTTACAGTATATTTTATATGTTACAGTGTATACTAGTACTTTATATGTTCCTATAAAATCTGTTCTGATTACCAACAGTGTAATGACATTCAGTTGTATTGTTTTTTAATTTTAAAGATGTTAATCAATGTCATACTGAATCATTAACCTTTATTAATGTATCAGTTTATAGGAAGGTGAGCTCATTAATTGCTACACCCTGAAATTCTACAGAAAAACTATATAATCAGTCCACCAATAAGAAACTTCTTTCTACCATATAAGCAAATAAGGCTAATAAATGTTTTACATGTTTATATCAAAATCCTGTATAATGATCATTCTAGGCTTCTAACAATGTTGCCTTACATAAATTATATGCTCAATTAATTGATAATCACTTGCAAGGGAGACAGACATAGATTTTGTCCTCTTTATTCGCCAAGACTTTCTTGCACTAGGATATTTATATTGTTGTAACTTTTACAGATATAATCTATTTCAGTACATGTCTGTTCAGTGTGTAAGATCAATGGATTATAGAACATCTTCCGGTATGCTCCAATCTATATGACAGCCTTTAATGTTCTCCTATACAAAAGGAATTAGCAGTTCTTGTTTCCACTAACAAACTTTATTTCTTATGATGTAATTATAGCATGTGATGAGAATCGATCACACAGATCAGGCTGATGTAAAACTTACTTCACAAGGAATCTTACCATACTATTACACACATTTTGTTTTATGTAAAATCATGTCCATGTGGTGGACATGTGGAGGTCTAACATCAAAGTAATTGCCAACCTACTGTATGCCAAGCTTTTTTCTTTAAAATGGTAGTAAATTTGACTTGTAATTCTGTTTAACTGCCTTTTTTTGTTGAAAACTAGTGTAAGATTACATTTTCCTACAACATTTATTGACAATAACTAAGGAACAAAATCTATTGTATCTTAATTACCAATATCCGTAGGAAAGAAAGAAACAACAATATTACTCAGCTTATGAAATTGCATACGGAAAAAAACTGTTGTCTATTTGTGGATAAAAAGCTTTAATTTCTAAAGGAGTCCTTCCTCTTCTTTTGCTTCAAGATCATCTTAAACTGTACGGAAATTAAATACAAGATTAGTTTCAAGATGCACTTCCTTATATTTAATGGTACACTTAAACAAAGCTGCTTTTCCTTATAACTTTTTTTCCTTATCTTGTCTCTAGATACATTACCATGTGTTACATAATTACATAACAACATTCTCACAGAAGAATAACAGAAAAGAATTTATTTGATTTAAAATTATTTAAAAAGATATCATCATACAATTTATAATGCATTTATCACTCACTGTTTTATAATATAATATACCTGTACATATTTTTCTGTATCTATGTACATATCACGAATCACATTGCACAAACACAATCATCCTAAATCTAGCCTACATTAAGCCTAAATCTAGCCTAAGAATTGACCTAAATCTAGCCTACAAATCTAAAACCTACATTAAGCCTAAATCTAGCCTAAGAATTGACCTAAATCTAGCCTACAATCATCCTAAATCTAGACGTATATCGACTCAATATAAGTCCCAGCTAAAGATACTTTTGTAATAACCATATTTAATGAACTATAAACAAAGAAAATCATACAAAATTTTAGAAATATATTGGAGTGTTTCTATAAAGCAATTTGTTCATCATAATAATATACCTGTAGCAACTACAGGGAATCATTATACAATAAGATGTATAATGAAAAACAAAACCTTTCCTCTATTGCTCAAGTTGCCATCATAAAAAGACATAAAAACTAATTATGAGAACATAGAAAAGTGAGAATTTTTCCTAGGGAGGTTTATATCATTGTAAATTCACCAATCATCTTCTTTTCTTAATATATGTTACAGATTGTAGAGATGTTGACTGGGGGGAGTCACTTAAACATAATATATACCCTATCACAACAGTTCCTTCAAACAACCTTCTACTAATCTTTCTGACAAGTTTCATGCTAGCAAAAATATCTTTTCAAAAATTTCACAAACGAAAAACATAATTTAATATCGTAACAAAATTACGATTTCTGTGTGTGGCAAGAAAGTCATTTCTGTATTTAATTGATATGCCTTACAAGAAAATACCTACCTTGAGTAACATCCTGTTTCACATGCACGACCCATAATGCTTTTGAGCTTCAAGTTTAATACAATTTTTTTTACACATAACTGACATGACCTAATATCAACATACAAGGTCATACTTTATAATAACAGTACCATTTTAGTAGAAATCTGAAATTTGTTCTTCTTTAGAATATCTTTGGTAACATTTTTTGTTGAATAATAATTTACCTATGGCTTATCAGTATATATCAAATTGCTATGCTCATCCAAAATATTTCTTTTATGATATTCTAAGATGTTGAATATTTTTTATGATATTCTAAGATGTTGCACAGTTTAAATAAATTTTATGAAGCAAATTTTCAACCTGATTATATGTCTGTATGAAAACTATGAAAAGTCTCTAAGTCTATTGTGGTTAAAATGATCACCCTGTCAATACACTATAACATCAGCAATTCTTACGTTTATTACACAGTATGTCAGTAAATGTCGGAAATAATTTTTTAATGGAAGTTGAGTTATCACGTCACAATCCTGCTTTCTGTATAATTTGACAAGTAAAAATATCTGTGAGTTTTAATTATATCATTAGCTGACATTTGGGAGGTAGGAAATGCTAAACAACATGGTAAAATAGCAGGTATAAAATATATACATATCACCTTAATACAACATTGTTTACATTAATTGTTTTGTTTTGCACTCCTATTTAACTCCTAAAGTCTTTGCAGATCAACCAAATTTTTTGTCTGTCAAACAGATAATTCAGTCAAAATTTTGGTGAACATTTAAAAATTACTAAAAGCTGTTTCCAATACTTGGATTCATTCGGACATGATTTGCAAAATAATTATATGTTACATCATGATAACAAACAGGATTTTACATAACTATGTAACAGGCTTTAATCTAAATTTTACAATGAGATTGACATACAATTTCAACTAATCTAACGCATTGATGTGTTACATTGCATGATAAAAACAAAACAACTGTCTTTGTTCACTTGAGAATTTTAAACATTTCATGTTTCAATTTGTGTAAATTCACATTGTTGTTTTTTTATTTTCCATTTTTATTGTTGTTCTTTTCTGTTACAAATATTTTTCTTTTTTTAGATGCAACTTTGTAGGGAAATGTCTTTGATGATTTACGACTACAAAAAAAGATGTATAAATAAAACTGCAATAAGTGCTCAAAGGTAAGACTGCATTATTATATCAATACTGACATGCATTACTTCAACAGTAATTAATGTTACACAATGACTCGTGAAATCAAACAAGGCCATTCTCATTCCAGGCTGATAAATTCAGCTTTCAGTCAACATCAGAATTATGAACATTTTATTACTCTTGCCACATCATGAAAAAATTATCACCATGTCATAAAAAACAACAATAAATAATTTACTCGAAAAATTTACTTGAAAACTGTTTGGACAAATAATTGGCATAAAAAGTTCTCAACATTTCTTCATGATTTTATTTTATATCAATTAAGTACATCAAATACTATAATTAGCAAAAGAATCATGAATTAAATAATAATGTACTAACATGTAACCAGTAACTGGTAGTTGTAACAATGTGTTTCTAGATTATAGTTACTGGCATCAGTTTATTTATAGATCTCCTAATTGAAACAGTAAACACATCTAAAAATAACCAGACAAAAATTCAAAACTTATTATTGTGAGACAATATTTTTTGAGAACAGATAAAAAAAAGGAGATTTGCATCCATTAGCTTAATTAAAATATGATGCACAATAATGTAAAGTTATATAACTGATACGTTCTTTTTACTAATGAATCAGTTAGAAACAATCATTCTGTGAATAGTTTTCCATTACTTCAACAGCGATGCATCTTTTTCCTTTTTGCAACGAGATACATTTTTTCATGCATTTACGCTGCAATTTTGTATAGCAGCTATCTTACAATAATCAAAATATTTTCTGCACCAATCAAATTGCCTTAATGAGGATCTGGTTTACATTGTGCACAGTAAGAAATTACTTCGGGAATAGATATTCTACTAATTGCAGCAATATTGTCAACAGTTTTTTTTTCTCCCAACAAATACAACAAAGTTTTTGCATACTGGTACATTAGTCTGTATAAGCTATAATGCTGTTATAATATTTACGATAGTGTTCATTTCAAAGCTAAAAAAATCTGCTATAGTACTTGTTCTACTCGCTTTAAAGTTAATTTATTTCCATTTCAGGAATTCTCCACAAATGTTTGATTTTTAGATTTTCCAAGTGAATGAATTTCAAAAATGTGTGAAAATGGCCCTTCAAAATAAATATCAATTCCATTGGAATAAATTAAAACCAGAACTTTTAAAATGGCATCAAAACAGCCAATTTTTTTTAATGTTTTTTAAATATGGATTGGCAAAAATCCTGCATGATGCCTGTGACCCTGTAACCTTGTACATGTACTACCAACTCCAACAAGACTAAGCAGTAACTTCTGATGTCCTAACATCCTATCTGGAACATTTTTAAACATGTCATATTTAGATGCAGGTTAACACCATCAAAATATCCTACATTATAATAATAATGTGTGCCATGACCTCTAAATATCTAATTACATAGAGACAGGCAGATAGCATTTCCTCAAAATATCTCATATAATTATGACAATGAGGATGCAGTCAAAATATCACATATAATTAGAATATTGAAGTTGCCCTCAGAATATCACTTATAATATTGAAGTTGCCCTCAGAATATCACATATAATATTGAAGTTGCCCTCAGAATATCACATAAAATATTGAAGTTGCCCTCAGAATATCACATGTAATATTGAAGTTGCCCTCAGAATATCACATATAATATTGAATTTGCCCTC